CAGACAGCTTTCCGGGTCATGTGGCCAGCAGGACTAAACCACTTCTGGCACAACAGGACACCGTGAAGGAAGCCAGAGCGCATGGAAACGCCAATTACCTTCCCGCCGCAGTGGTACCTATTTATCTACTTGCGCTGGTGTGCTTTCGAACTGCTAGGTTGGCAGGAGCTGGGACAGAGCAAAGGGAGCTCACTCCATCGCGGGGATTTGAACTGCTGACCTTCTGATTGGCAAGCCCTAGGCTCTGTGGTTTAACCCACAGTGCCACCCGCGTCACACATATATATATTGCCTGGGCTGATCTAAGTGTGGAGCCAGGTACTTGCTCCGTAGGGGATGGGAAAAGGAGGAAAGACAGAAAGGGGGGTGTCTACCAGAGGTGTCTTCTGGTCCAGATCTGGCCGGGAGGCCTCCAGATTGGCCGGGAAAAAAGCCATGAAGCCGCCCCTTGTCCAAAGACTCGAGTGATGTGGCGTCTGAAGGTGCGCCCGGCAACCTGTTCCAACTCTGCGTGACATCACACAGAGCGCATCATAAGGAGAGGCCGGCGGGGAAACTGCCTAGCAACCTCTGTGCAAAAGTTAGCAAGGACTTCGCAAATCCGCCTCGAGGGGGAAAGCGGCTCCTTCTTCACCCATGCCTGACTTTGCCATTGCATGCGCTGCGCCCCCAGTGCTTCCAAAACATTACGATTATTGCCGCTAGAAATGAGATAGTTTTGCAGGAGCCGAGCTGCTAACACTGTTCCGCACTCAGTTCTGAAATGCATGGGGTGTGACCTTCGAGCAGCCTAACCTACCTCACAAGGTTGTTGTAGGGGTTTAATGAGGGAGGGGGGGAACCATGTACAGCACCTTGCGCTCCTTGGGCGGAGAGGTGGGATATAAATAGAAGAAGAAGAAGAAGAAGAAGAAGAGGAGGAGGAGGAGGCGGAGGAGGAGGAGGAGGAGGAGGAAATTATGATTATGCTCTGCCTCTATATATATATTTGGGAACGCGGGTGGCTCTGTGGGTTAAACCACAGAGCCTAGGACTTGAAGGTCAGAAGGTCGGCGGTTCGAATCCCCGCGACGGGGTGAGCTCCCGTTGCTCGGTCCCTGCTTCTGCCCACCTAGCAGTTTGAAAGCACGTCAAAGTGCGAGTAGATAAATAGGTACCTCTCCGGCGGGAAGGTAAACGGTGTTTCCGTGCGCTGCTCTGGTTCACCAGAAGCGGCTTAGTCCTGCTGGCCACATGACCCGGAAGCTGTACACTGGCTCCCTCGGCCAGTAAAGCGAGATGAGCGCCACAACCCCAGAGTCGGCCACGACTGGACCTAATGGTCAGGGCTCCCTTTACCTTTATATATATATTTAGAGAGAGTTTTTAAATTCTATTCATGTTTAGTGTTTTTATTGTCATGGTCCCCCCCCCATGTTTTTAGCTGTTCTTATTTTACATATAAAAAATATAGGGACGCAGGTGGCACTGTGGGTAAAAGCCTCAGCGCCTAGGGCTTGCCGATCGAAAGGTCGACGGTTCGAATCCCCGCGGCAGGGTGCGCTCCCATTGCTCGGTCCCAGCGCCTGCCAACCTAGCAGTTCGAAAGCACCCTCGGGTGCAAGTAGATAAATAGGGACCGCTTACTAGCGGGAAGGTAAACGGCGTTTCCGTGTGCGGCTCTGGCTCGCCAGATGCAGCTTGTCACGCTGGCCACGTGACCCGGAAGTGTCTGCGGACAGCGCTGGCCCCCGGCCTCTTGAGTGAGATGGGCGCACAACCCTAGAGTCTGTCAAGACTGGCCCGTACGGGCAGGGGTACCTTTACCTTTACCTTTTATTTTACATATAAGCCACCTTGAGTCCTTCTGAGGGGGAAAAGGTGGGGTATAAATAAATGGTTACTATTACTATTTATATTATTATTATCAACAACAACTGCAAAGTTGGAAAGGAGACTCTACTCAGATTCACGGCTGGGCTGAATGAATTTTATTATTACGGTCACAGACCAGTTCCAGCTCACTTACAATATCAGGAAAATCATAAAACACAACAGGGATACATTGAATTGCAATTGGGTATAACAGAGACAATTCTGATATAGAGGCAGTTAAAATATATATATTAAATCTTGATCACTAAAATACAACCTAAAATTGTCATTTAAAACCTTAATCATTTTGGTAGTACAGCTTGTTCCCTAAGTTTTATGGCAGTCGCACAGAATTTGGCCACCCTGAGCATGATCTCTAGATCCTTGTCCTCTACCAGGAGATTTAGACATTGAAGTTCGGACCCATTTGGAGATTTTTGTATAACAGGAGTGATAAATGCCGAGCATATATCCCCGTAGGAACGGCAGCGTAACAAGACATGAGAGACAGTTTCTACCTCCATCAAGCCGCAGGCGCAGAGTCATTCCGCGTACGGTTTACCCTCGACTCTGCCCTGCAATAAGGCAGATGGCAGCACGTTGAATCTAGCAAGGGTAAATGACCGTCTGTATTTGGTTATTTGCAATTTTGACAAATAATTTGCTGGGGTAATTCCTCTCCCATTATCTTTTATTGCTGGGTGCTTATTCAACCGGCTGGGTTTTAAACGAGCTGCTCCCGCCCAAGAAAAAGTTGCCATAGAATCCTAGAACTGGACAGTTGGAAGGGACCCCATGGGTGATCCACACCAATGTAGTGATCAGGTGGGATTGCTATGAGGAATTATAACAAATATAGAGTAAGCCATCTGGGTCAGCAATGAAAGCATTGCGTTTACTGGGTTTAAACTATTTTGATATGATTCTTGATCTTCCACACCTCTGCATCCCTGTTCCATTTCTCTTTCTTGACCAGTCACGTACACTGCCAGTTGCTTCGCCAGGCAGGCATCCTGGGTCATCAAAGGCAGAGGGCAGTTTCTTTGATGTAGCTTTCCTGACATGTTAATCTTGTTGTTGTTGTTGTTTAGTCGTTTAGTCGTGTCCGACTCTTCGTGACCCCCCGGACCAGAGCACGCCAGGCACCTCTGTCCTCCACTACCTCCCGCAGTTTGGTCAAACTCATGCTGGTAACCTCGAAAACACTATCCAACCATCTCGTCCTCTGTCGCCCCCTTCTCCTTGTGCCCTCCATCTTTCCCAGCATCAGTGTCTTCTCCAGGGAGTCTTCTCTTCTCATGAGGTGGCCAAAGTACTGGAGCCTCAGCTTCAGGATCTGTCCTTCCAGTGAGCACTCAGGGCTGATTTCCTTCAGAATGGAGAGGTTGGATCTTCTGGCAGTCCATGGGACTCTCAAGAGTCTCCTCCAGCATCGTAATTCAAAAGCATCCATTCTTCGGCGATCAGCCTTCTTTATGGTCCAGCTCTCACTTCCATACATCACTACTGGGAAAACCATGGCTTTTACTATACGGACCTTTGTTGGCAAATGTTAATCTTAGGATGTTAATATTAGGGCCAGGAAACAGGTCTCACGTAAAGGTGATAATGATTGCTGTCCTCCTGGCCATCCTTCTTATCATGTGTATTGATTGTTTATGACCTCCGGGTTTGCTGAATGCACTCCTTTGTAGTTTTCATTTATTTACCCCCAAAATATGCATGCTTAACTAGTGTTTGTAGTGTAACTTTGTCCCCACCTGGGGTTTGCTGAAATGCTCAGAAGAAATCTGATTGGTTCTTAGGAACACACTGTTAAAAGTTCTTTTGTGAATAAAACGACCTGGGCCGAGGGGTAGAGGGACAGACATTATTATAGGCACCCTTCCCAGAGTCTTGCTAGTTCAAGCTTCTGTGTGTATTCTTATTAATCAGAGTTCAATCCTTCCTTTACTTTGGGAACGCCTCAGACCAACCCCCTGAACTGCAGGCTGCCTCTTGGAAAACATCTGCTTGGCATCTTCCAGGATCTTGGCAAATGGGATGACAGGCTGCAGTTAGCTGGCGAGGCAGTGTGGCGTGATGGTTAGAGCGCCAGACTGGGATCTGGGAGACCTGGGTGCAAATCTCCCCTATCAGAAGCGAAGTTTCCTGGGCAACCTTGAGTCCATCACTACCTCTCAGCCTAACGTACCTCACAGGGTTGTTGTGAGGATGAAATAGAGGAGGAAGGGAAGAACTATGGTACCCAACCTTGAGCTCCTTAGAACAGGGTTTCCCAAACTTGGGTCTCCAGCTGGTTTTGGACTACAGGCCCCATCATCCCTGACCACTGGTCCTGCTGGCTAGGGATGATGGGGTTTGTAGTCCGACAACGGCTGGGAACCCAAGTTAGAAGGTGGGTTGCAAATTTCAGAATCAAATGATAAAAATGAGGGTTGTGGTGAGGATGGAATGGAGAGAGCCGTGCAGACTCCCTTGGGCTAATGGAGCTAAGAAATCATCATCATCATAATTCTATGTGCTTTTAAAATGTGGGGTTTTTAGAGAGGGTTATTGGGTTGCTGTTTTTATTTTATATTTTATATAAAATATAAAAAAGATTTTATTTTATGTATAATTTTTTATAAAATTATTTTATGTATAAAAGTTTTATAAAAATATTTTATTTTATATCATTTTTTATAAAAATATTTTATTTTATATCATTTTTTGTTAAAAAATATTTTATATAAATATTTTATAAAACTTTATTTTCTATAAACTTTTAATGAAATTTTATTTTTAAAAAATAGAAAATATTTTATTTTATGTTTTGTGGTTTTACATTTTGATTTTCTGTGAACTGCCCTGAGACCTCCGGGTACAGGGCGGTATATAAATGCAATAAATAATAATAATAATAGTAGTAATAATAATAATGATGATGATGATGCAATAAATATTTTACCAATAACAACAATAAATGCCCACTTAAGTGGGAGTCGCTACATAAATACTCGAGGGTGGGGGGGGGATTATTCCTTTCCCTACGAAGGCGCATCTCCCCTGCAGATATGAATTGCCAGGATCTGTCCCTTTGCCCGAAGAGCGCAAGAAACTCCTGAAATTAAGCGAAATCTGACCCCACTTTCTGGCAGGCTGCAATGCACCCGGAATCCGGCGCCGCGCGCCAGTCTACTGTTCTAGCTCTAGACGCCTGCACGCACGTGACGTGGCGACGCCGCGGCGCGGGCTGCGGTTTCCTAGCGACGGCGTTGCCCGGGCGACGGAGGGCGCCGGGCCTGGTGGGGCGGCGGGATGAGCTCGGAGGGCGAAGGGGGCGGCGGCGGCGGCGGGGCGGAGGGGCGGAGGAGGGCGGCGAGGGCGCGGGGGGAGGCGCGCGAGCCAAGGCGCCCAACCTCGCCTCCGAGGACCCGCAGGAGCGCATCGCCGCCCGGCGCCTCCGCATCGCCGCCCGACTCGAGGCCAAGAGGAGGTGGGGGTCCGGCTAGAGGGCCTCTGGGTGACCCTTGCGAGGGGGAGGGAAGGGGAGGCATCGCGAGGGGGTCCGGCTAGAGGACCTCTGGGTGACCCTTGCGAGGGGGGAGGGAAGGGGAGGCATCACAAGGGGGTCGGACTAGAGGACCTCTAAGAGCTCCTTCCTACGGGAGGGGGAGGCATCATGAAGGGGGTCCGGCTAGAAGACCTCTGGGTGTCCCTTCCGAGGGGGAGGGAAGAAGAGGCATCGCAAGGGAGTCAGACTAGAGGACCTCTAGGACCCCCTTCCAAAGGAGGGGGGAGGGGCCTTTGGCTGACCCACGTCCCGCTTCTGCCCTTCTTTTTATTAGGTATGGTGTGCTTTTGCCTCGTAATTTCATTCTGCAAGTTGCCCCAAGTTCTTCAGATAAAGGGGCGGTATACAAATTAAATAAATGAATAGTTAATAATAATTAATAGTTAGGTTAATTGTCTTGTGACGAGGCCCCTCCGTAATTCTCCCCAGCGGACCCCTGCGCAGATGGATTTGTATACCCCTCTTCATCCCAAGATTCCAGGGCGGTTCACAGCAGAAAAATATAAAACGAGAACATAAAATACATGATAAAGCAAAAACAAATCTGGGTCTGGCTAGAGGACCTCTGGGTGTCCCTTCCGAGGGGGGAGGGAAGGGGAGGCATCGTGAGGGGGTCCGGCTAGAGGTTCTCCGGGTGTACCTACCGAAGGGGGAGGAACGGGGAGGCATTGCGAGGGGGTCGGACTAGAGGACCTCTGGGTGTCTCTTCCGAGGGGGAGGGACAGGGACGGGGAGGCATTGCAAGGGGGGGTCTGGCTAGTGGATCTCTGGGAGACCCTTCCGAGGGGAGGGGGAGGTTGTGAATCCTGACGCACCTCGGGTGATCTGCCACCCAGCTCTGAACCTCTCCTCCCACAACCCAACCCCAAACGCAGTAATGGTCCCAGCATCCCACTTCTTAAGACCCCCATGTTTCCCACCCTCCACCCTTTTGGGCTCCCCTACCTCTCACTTTCCCCCAGAGCTTCCTATCCAGAGTCACTCTGGTTTCAGGTCTGGAGATCCCCACACGTTAGTCCAGGCACAGGGTGGGTAGACCAAGGATGAACATGTGCCTTTTGGGCTCTTTTTCCAGGGAGGCGCTTGGAGAAGATCCAGATGCACATAAGCTGGTGGAAGAGGAGCAGAGTCGGAGCCACAAACAGATAGAGGACAGCAGACAGGTTAGGACTCAGCGAGGGAACCAGGGCGTTTTTGTGTACGATTTCCCCAAATTGCATTCAATCAGTTCCCAGCACAGCGTGACAAAAAGAAACCCAATCCATCGCTATCCATATGAAAGACGATACAAAACAGTTTCAGAATAGCAAAAAAGACACAGTAAGATAACATTGGTATCAATATACAGTGGTGTCAGAGCTGCTCCCCGATCCCAGCTCACAGAGGATCACGCTAGCCAGCGTTCGCTTTATAAAAGTCTTTATTGAGTTACAGTTTCCATTTCCAAGCTGCTGCGTGCAACTCTACGTCTTATGGCTAGACCGGCGAAGCTCCGTCTGAATCTCCGCCCCTCGTACACCAACTTAATATCCTCGCCTTACTCCACCTTTTCCGCCTGACCGTCCTTCTCTGGGTCCCTCTGCCCCCCGTGGTCTCCCCCCTCCGGGACTCCTCTGACGCTGACCCCCCGGACCCTCCTGTCTCCTTGCGTCGGGCTTTAGGACCTGGCTCCCTTTCCGGGCTGCTTACTGCGCCGCCTTCCCGTGCATTTGAACTTGGCGCGCGCGCCCAGCCTTCCACTTTCCGCTTGACCGTTTCTTCGCTCCCCGATGGGGGTGTGGTCACTCCTGACTCATGCCCTCCTCCCTGCTGCGAGCTGCCAGGGCTCGATCCCTGACGTCCTTCCTCTCCACTGCGCTCTGGTGGGGACGCTGGCCCCGATTTCCAACTGCTGCCCTCTGAACCCCCGCTGGTCCCTTCCTCCTGGGGTGTCCCCCTAGGCCCCCCCTTTGCTCTGGCCACTGGCGCTCCTTTCTGTGAATCTTCCGATTCACTGGAAAGACTCGGAGATCTCGGGTCGTCGTCATCACTCATCCTTTCTTCGGACTCCTCCCCCTCGCTCTCTGTTTCCTCCCTTGCCCTCGCCTCTGCTCCTGAACCCCTGACAAGTGGTGTCTTGGTTCTCAAACTTAGTCCATTCCGGAAGTCCATTCCAAAACCAAAGTGTTCCAAAATCAAGGTGCGCTTTCCCATAGAAAGTAATGCTAAATGGATTCATCGTTCCAGACTTTTAAAATCAATCCCTAAAACAGTGATTTAACATGAATTTTACTATCTAACGAGACCATTGATCCATAAAATGAAAGCAATAAACAGTGTACTGCACTCACACCATCAATCAATCAATCAATCAGTAGCTGAACTGGGTTCCACACAGTCACAAAAACAAAACGAAAAGAGCCGCGAAAACAAAAACGTTAGAAGAAGTTACGCAGAAGTTAGTAGTAGCTGCAACTCTGGAGAAGGAGGTAGGGCTGGCAAGAATCGGCTGACAGAACCTCAACTTTCAGGAGGGAACTGAACCTCAAGGTGGAAATTATGGTCACTTCATTCCTATTGCCAAGATACATCTGTATAGCACAGCTTCACAATTGCAGACCCTGCAGGGTTTTTATTTAACCCCCCCCCCCTAGAAGTGGCGCTGTGGGTTAAACCACAGAGCCTAGGTCTTGCCGATCAGAAGGTCGGCGGTTCGAATCCCCGCAATGACGGGGTGAGCTCCTGTTGCTCGGTCCATGCTCCTGCCAACCTAGCAGTTCGAAAGCACGTCAAAGTGCAAGTAGATAAATAGGGACCGCTCCGGCGGGAAGGTAAATGGCGTTTCCGTGCGCTGCTCTGGTTCGCCAGAAGCGGCTTAGTCATGCTGGCCACATGACCCAGAAGCTGTACGCCGGCTCCCTTGGCCAGTAAAGTGAGATGAGCGCCACAACCCCAGAGTCGGCCATGACTGGACCTAACAGTCAGGGGTCCCTTTACCTTTAGCAACATAAATCAGTCTGGTTGGTCAAAAGATACCGCCTCAATCATTTCATGTCTGTGTTAGCTTAGAATGACCCGCTTATGTTATGTTCTCTTTGCTCAGAGGTTGACTAAGCTGCTGATTGATGGCACACAGCTAGTGACAAACATCCAGGTGGCAGCTGATTCTCGAGAGACTCACAGGAGGGCAGAGGAAGAGGAGCTGAATCGGCAAAGGTAAGCGCTGGGCTGGGGCACCCTCTTTAAGTGGGGGATATGTGGGAAAGGGGATGCAGGTGGCGCTGTGGGTTAAATCACAGAGCCTAGGACTTGCCGATCAGAAGCTCGGTGGTTCGAATCCCCGTGACGGGTTGAGCTCCCGTTGCTCGGTCCCTGCTCCTGCCCACCTAGCAGTTCGAAAGCACGTCAAAGTGCGAGTAGATAAATAGGTACCTCTCCGGCGGGAAGGTAAACGGCGTTTCCGTGCGCTGCTCTGGTTCGCCAGAAGCGGCTTAGTCCTGCTGGCCACATGACCCGGAAGCTGTACGCCGGCTCCCTCGGCCAGTAAAGCGAGATGAGCGCTGCAACCCCAGAGTCGGCCATGACTGGACCTAATCGTCAGGGGTCCCTTTACCTTTTTATCTGGGAAAGAGGCAGCAGAGGTCAGAGCCAGCCAGCGGTTCCCTTGGGAACTCAGCGCGATCTTCACTTTGACCAAGGGGTCAGAAAAGACGTCCACTCCCAGGTTCAACATTCTGATTCAGGCTTGAGAGAACTGCAGGTTCCAGGGTGCGTAACGTGAACCTGATAAACTGCTTTGCACTAAATCAGAACGTTGGCCCATGCAGGAGCTCAGAATCTGTACCCATCCTTTTTTTTATATATATATATATATATATATATATACACAGTGGTACCTTGGGATGCGAACGGGATCCGTTCCGGAGCCCCGTTCTCATCCTGAATAGAACGTAAGACGTACACGCGCATCTGCGCATGCGCGGGTCGCGTTTTGCTGCTTCTGCAAATGCATGTGGTGTCATTTTGACCATCTGCGCATGTGTGAGCAGCGAAACCTGGAAGTAATGCACTCTGTTACCTCTGGGTCGCCGTGGAGCACAACCTGAAAATACTTATCCTGAAGCATATTTATCCTGAGGTATAACTATATGTGTGTGTGTGTGTATCTATACATATATATATATATATACACACACACACACACACACACACACACACACACACACACATATATACAGTGGTGCCTGGCAAGACGAAATTAATTCGTTCCACGAGTTTTGTCGTCTTGCGATTTTTTTCGTCTTGCGAAGCACGGTGTCGGGAAAGTTTTGGAAAAGCTTCAAAAATCACCAAAGTCTTCAAAAACCTCAAAAAAGGCTACCACACCGCATTCTATGAGTTGCTCCTCGAAGTCAAGTCGCAACTGTATTAACGGTGTTAAGAAAAAGGAAACAAACTTGCAAGACGTTTCCGTCTTGCGATCAAGCCCATAGGGAAAATCGTCTTGCGAAGCAGCTCAAAAAACAAAAAACCCTTTCGTCTTGCGAGTTTTCCGTCTTGCGAGGCATTCGTCTTGCGAGGTACCACTGTAATCCGTTCATTACAATTGCTTTTCAAATAGTTCGTATATTTACTCCAGTCTTCTAAGAATCTCTGGTCCTGCAGGTTTCGAATCCTTCCTGTTAATTTATGCAGTTCTGCATAGTCCATCAATTTCATCCGCCATTCTTCTTTCGTCGGTAGTTCTTCTTGCTTCCATTTTTGTGCCAACAGAATCTGTACCCATCCTAGCAGCAGTCCTATGATGCATGTTAGGCTGGGCTCTGTGACTGGCAGCCGTGATTCACCCCTTCTGTCTGGGAACCTCCTTAAACTCGAGGTACTGAGAATTGAAGCCGAGAGGGGAATTTGATTGCAAGGTGTGCTCTGTGTCCTTCAGGTGCGGCCCCTCCTTGTTTTAAGTACACTGGCATCAAGGTATAATGGAGCCAAACAGTCCGAAGGGAGCTCAGAGTTCATTTTGTCCCTGCCCATGTTTCACAACCCACACTGGGTGGCCCCCCGGCCTCAGCTTAAATGCTTACAGCAAAGGACCACCCATCATTTTCCAAGGGAGTCCCATCTACTGGCAAAGAGCTTGTGAAACCAGGGAGGTCTTCCTCATATGAATCAACACCCCCTTCCCTGTCATTTGGGCTTGTGGGTGTGGGCTTTGAGCTTTGAAGCAACAGAAAACAAATTTTCCCTTCGGAGGTGGAAATATGAGCAATTATTTATTTATTTTTTTCAATTTTTTTTATTGATTTTCCAAAAAAAATTAACAAACAAACAAACATAAATCTCAACTGTATTTAAACCAATCTTAGTAACATTGTTAAGTGACTTCCTCAAATCACCCTAGTTGAATTTCAGTGTTTATCATTTTAACAGTTTTCCAAAACCAATTTTCTCATAACGTTGACTTAATCACTTAACATCTTTCTTTCTTTCTATTTTAACTTTAAATATATTAATCTCTAACATTACATATTTAAATCCTAAGCCTATCTGGTATTTGCAAGCTTTTCCAATTAAATTATCTTAACATATTTAACTAAATAGTCTTTGAATTTCATCCATTCCTCCTGGAACTCCTCCTCCTTCTGGTCGTGGACTCTTCCAGTCAGGTCGGCTAGCTTCGAAAAATCCATCATCTTCATCTGCCATTCCTCCACTGTAGGGACTTCTTGTGTTTTCCAATTCTTAGCTAACAATTCTTGCTGCAGTTGTGGCATACAAAAACCGTTTGACATCTTTCTTGGGCAATTCCAAACCTGTTATTCCAAGAAGAAATGCCTCTGGTTTCTTAATAAATGTATATTTCAACATTTTTCCCAATTCATGAAATAGGAGCGATTATAAACATGGGGTTGATAGAACATTGTATGGCAGCAAGCACCCTTTAAAGGTAAAGGTAAAGGTACCCCTGCCCGTACGGGCCAGTCTTGACAGACTCTAGGGTTGTGCGCCCATCTCACTCAAGAGGCCGGGGGCCAGCGCTGTCCGGAGACACTTCCGGGTCACGTGGCCAGCGTGACATCGCTGCTCTGGCGAGCCAGAGCCGCACATGGAACACCGTTTACCTTCCCGCTAGTAAGGGGTCTCTATTTATCTACTTGCACCCGGGGGTGCTTTCGAACTGCTAGGTTGGCAGGCGCTGGGACCGAACAACGGGAGCGCACCCCGCCACGGGGATTCGAACCGCCGACCTTTCAATCGGCAAGCCCTAGGCGCTGAGGCTTTTACCCACAGCGCCACCCGCGTCCCCTAAGCACCCTTTACCTCTAGCTTATTCCCACATTGGCTGAGTTTTCTGAAGGCTGGTTCCCGTTCGGAGGAGGCCCTCAACTTCTGGGATTGTACTACCCTCAATAGTTCAGATACTTTCCCGCAGTTTGGCTAAGATTCCTTCATTGCCGGGGGTTGGACTGGATGACCCTCAGAGTCCCTTCCAACTCTGCAATTCTGTGATTGGCTTAAGATTCTTAGGCTGAATTGGAGGTGAAAGGGAAAGCGTTACAAGAATGAGATGCCAGTTAATTGAGAGGGGTGGGTGTTGTGCCACACTCCTTTTTGGGGAGGGGCTTGCCACTTACACTGAACTTCAAAATGCCCAAAGAGTCAATGGGCTATTGGGGATCAGGCCTACAGATGCACCTGATCTTCAGGAAAGTGTCTGTTTGGAAATACTTGGTGCTCGAGCCAAAAAGAAAGACCAAAGAGGAGAGGGCAGAGGTCTTGTGCCAGCAAATGATTAAGATCAGGCGTCCCCAAACTAAGGCCTGCGGGCTGGATAAGGCCCGAGGGACTCGTTTATCCGGCCCGCGGCGACCCCCGCTGCCCGTTCTTACTGGTGCTGTGCTGCGTGGCTCCCCACTTTCGGGTCAGAGGAGCACTGGAAATAGCTTGTGCACATGCGCAAGCATTATTTGCGCATGTGCAATCATTACTTCCGGTGCACATCCGGGCCGGAGGAGGTCCGTGCACATGCGCACAGGCTGTTTCCGGTGCTCCTCCGACCCGGAAGTGCGGCGGAAATAGCGTGTTCGCACGCGTATGGGCACGCGCTCCCCTGCCCTCCGGCCCTGCCACGCATTCGGCGCTGGAGACACCGACCCGAGGCGCGGTAAGTTCGCTGACCCCCGATTAAGATCATTGATCTGCTGTGACTCACAGCATAGCGTTATAGATTTTCAGCCTCAGATCAGAACTGACGAGGGCTGCTCGCAAACTCGCCTTGAAGGGAACTCTCTCCATCTGGCTCTTTGCAGGGTGGAGAAGCTGGAGAATGAATCCAAGGCCAACCAAGACAAGTTTAACGAGATCACTTCCAAGTGGGGAGCTACCAAGGAGAAGGTCATCCCCCAGGAGCTCTGGGAAGGGCTCAATGCGCAGCAGATGCTGTGTGCACAGCTGATCGAAGAAAAGAACAAGCTCATCAGTGAGCTGCAGCAGGTGGGGTTGCGCACCGGGGGGGGGGGAGTGCGTGGGGACAGGTCACGGGAAGTGTGGCTGCAGAAGGGATGGGCAAACCTAGTGATGGGCAAACCTGCCTCGGATCGATTTGGAATTTGTAGAAAGGAGAAACGTCCTCAGGAACCATATGAACTGACCTGGACCCTGAGATCATCCTCTGAGTCCCTTTCTTCGTGTGCCTCCTCCACGAGAGGTCTGGAGGGTGGCAACACGAAAAGGGGCCTTTTCTGCAGTGGCTCCCCATTTGTGGAATGCTCCCCCTAGGGAGAATCATCTTGCACCTTTGTTACATATTTTTAGGCGCCAGGCAAGAACTTGCCTCTATAACCAGGCCTTTGGCCTTTAACCATCTACAGATAAGTCTCACCTTATGCGAGGGTAGCGTTCCTGGCTATTGCTCTACCTCTCTTTTAAATCAGAACCAGTGAAGGCGGTGAAGGTCCTGTGTGAGTGCCTGGAGGCGGTTGGAGGATGGATGGCGGCTAACAGATTGAGGTTGAATCCTGACAAAACAGAAGTACTGTTTTTGGGGGACAGGGGGCGGGCAGGTGTGGGGGACCCCCTGGTCCTGAATGGGGTAACTGTGCCCCTGAAGAACCAGGTGTGCAGCCTGGGAGTCATTCTGGACTCACAGCTGTCCATGGAGGCACAGGTCAATTCTGTGTCCAGGGCAGCTGTCTACCAGCTCCATCTGGTACCCAGGCTGAGACCCTATCTGCCTGTGGACTGCCTCGCCAGAGTGGTGCATACTCTGGTTATCTCCTGCTTCGACTACTGCAACACGCTCTACGTGGGGCTACCTTTGAAGGTGACCCGGAAACTACAACCCAGAACGCGGCAGCTAGACTGGTGACTGGGAGCGGCCGCCGATACCACATAACACCGGTCTTGAAAGACCTACATTGCCTCCCAGTATGTTTCCGAGCACAATTCAAAGTGTTGGTGCTGACCTTGAAGCCCTAAACGGCCTCGGTCCAGTATATCTGAAGGAGCGCCTCCACCCCCATCATTCAGCCCAGGACACTGAGGTCCAGCACTGAGGACCTTCTGGCAGTTCCCTCCCTTGCGAGAAGCCAAGTTATAGGGAACCAGACAGAGGGGCTTCTCAGTAGTGGCTCCCGCCCTGTGGAATGCCCTCCCTTCAGATGTGAAGGAAATAAGCAGCTATCTTATCTTTAAAAGACATCTGAAGGCAGCCCTGTTTAGGAAAGTTTTTAATATTTCATGCTGTATTGTTTTAACACTTGGTTGGGAGCTGCCCAGAGTGGCTGGGGAAACTCAGCCAGATGGGTGGGGTATAAATAATAAATTTATTATTATTATTATTATTATTATTATTATTATTATTATTATTATTATTGCTCATGACTGCTAGAAGGGCCCTGGGTGACTATCCCTACCTGTCCGATCCTAGGTCTGAGGAGGTCTTCCTCCACGTACCTCACATCTCGCTTACCGGGCTCTGGGAAGGGTTCCAGGGGCCTCGGACCCTGCAGTCGCTGCCCCAGAGGCCTCGTGTGATCTTCCCAGAGCCTGTTAAACAAGGCTTTAAAAGCTCTCCGTGAGTCCCACCTCCCTTGTTTTCCCTTTAGTCCCTTTATTTAGCCCCTTTATTTAGCCCCTTTATTTCCCGCAATCTGCGTAACGCTGCAGTTGTGTGCGTGAAATCAGCATAAGAGGAGCTATCAGTCACAAACCGCCCTGTGATCTTAGGATGACGGGCGGTATACACATTTAGGAAATGAAATCCGCCTGCCTTCGTAGTGTGAAGATGACAGGGTGGAATCCAAAAGTCAGGCCTGAATCTGGCCTCCCTGTCTGTTTGTGCCCTCCAGGAGCTGAAAAGCAAAGATGACCAGTACGTGAAGGATCTCCGGAAGCAGTCAGAAGACATTAACCTGCTGCTGGAGCGGATGGAGGAGCAGATCAGAAACCTCATAAAAAACTACCGCCGAGAGCTCCTGCAGATTGAGGTATCGGTCTCTCGTCCCGCGCCCTGAAGTTTTTCAGCAGCAGAAGGCGATTCTTTCTTGCTTGTGTCTATGCAGAAAAAAAAAAAAGACGGTTAAACTAAGATGAAAGCAGCATTGGGCATCAGCAAGCAAATGTATTTAAATTCTCTTTCTCTTCGTTTATTCTATGTATTTTTCCTTCATGTATCCAAGGCAGCTAGCAAAAAGTACATCAGAATTAGACTGACAATATGAAATAAAACAATTTTTAAAAATGCAGAGCTGAGGATCCTCTTCTTGCTTTCGGCACTGCCTTTGAAAATCCCAATAATTGAATAGTTGCAGACGTTGCTCAATCAATTCGTTTGACAAAACACAATAGCAAGAAACACATCCAAAGACATAGTGGCTTTGGAGTCCCCAACCTAAGCTGTTGTGATCAGACTATTAGTCTATTAGCCAGGGAGATGCTATGGTTTGGACATACCCAAGTCTCACAGGGTAGGAGAACATGGGTGGGTGGGTGTTAAATGAATGGATCTGGGGAAAGAAATCAAAATTCATTGACTCCAAACTCTGAGAAGTAATGAAGGCGATCTGGAGTCTTCTTAGAAGGTCCCCAATTTATCATCCCCTACTTAGGAGTACTCATTTGCTACTTTAGGGCTGAATATGAGCTCTGCAGAGTCTGTGATTTTGTCGTGATTCCTTCACTTTCAGGGCTTGGACTGGATGAGCTTTGGGTGTCCCAGCTTTTCAGTTCTGCGATTCTGAGTCCTGGCTCTCACGGGACTCTGCTGACTTCCCTTCCGCCCATAGATTGGGGGCTGCTCAAGCCACATCTCTCTCTTTCCCCCCCTAGAAAGCCTTTGAATTAGAGCGCCGTGAACTCCTCACGAGCAACAAGAAGAAATGGGAACAGGCCATGCAGTTGCTCAACCGCCAAGAGGTAAGGAAGAAGGGGGCATGTGCCTGCAGGAAAGGCAGAGAAACAGCCCCCTCCCAGGAAGGAAAAGAACGAAAAGTCTAAGATGGTAGTCCATGTCGGAACACGCCTGGGGGACACACACAGCCCCTGGATTGAGACAAACCTCTCCGGGCATCTTCCTTGTGAAGCGCAGCCCGGGACGTTCATAAATCTTAAGTCCTGGTGCGCACCAGCGACACATATCCAAAGATATGTGCACACTCTATAAGCAGAGTATAGCAGAAACAATGTGGAGCTTAGGTGTGGCGTTCTAAGTAATTTATTAAGCAGTATATATACGGGCCGCGGGTGGCGCTGTGGGTTAAACCACAGAGCCCAGGACTTGCTGATCAGAAGGTCGGTGCTTCGAATCCCCGGGACGGGGTGAGCTCCCGTTGCTCGGTCCCTGCTCCTGCCAACCTAGCAGTTCAAAAGCACGTCAAAGTGCAAGTAGATAAATAGGTACCACTCCAGCAGGAAGGTAAACGGCGTTTCCGTGCGCTTCTCTGGTTTGCCAGAAGCGGCTTAGTCCTGCTGGCCACATGACCTGGAAGCTGTACGCCAGCTCCCTCGGGTGGTAAAGCGAGATGAGCGCCGCAACCCCAGAGTCGTCCACAACTGGACCTAATGGTCAGGGGTCCCTTTACCTATATATACGGGAAGATAAACGGCGTTTCCATGCGCTGCTCTGGTTCTCCATAAGCGGCTTAGTCATTGAAGAGCAGTATGGTGGCCACCTGTCTTGGATGCATTAGCTGAGAGTCCTGCATTGCAGGGGGGTGGACTAGATGACCCTCGGAGTCCCTTCCCGCTCTCCAATTCTATGATTCTATAATATGCTTCCTTATTTTGTTTTCTTTGGTGGGGTAGAGGGCGGGTGGAGATGGACAACATGAGACCAGAACCAAGTCTCTCCCTTAGTTTGAGTTCCGGGTAGATGCGACCATCTGTGTTGTGAGCATGCTTTGTGGCCGTCTATGGGGAAAAGCAGTCTATAAATATTAGAATCACAGAGCCGGAAGGGACCCTGAGGGTCATCTAGTCCAACCCCCTGAAATGCAGGAATCTCAGCTAATGCATCCATGACAGGTGGCCGTCCAGCCTCTGCTCACAAACCTCCAAGGAAGGAGAAATCTATCCGAAGGTGACCACAAGCTTTGCTGGGCTCAGAGATGACTTCAGAGTAAAAGGTAAAGGTAAGGTACCCCTGCCGACGGCCAGTTTGACGCTGTGCGCCACCAAGACGGGGGCCAGCGGTCCGGAGACACTTCCGGTCACTGGCCGTGTGACATGCTGCCTGGGAGAGAGCTCGCCACGAACCTGTTACCTCCGCAGAAGCGGTCCCTATTTATCTACTGCACCCGGGGGCTTCGTACTGCTGCAGGCGGCGGAGCGCACCCCGTGGGAGAACCGCCGACCTTTCGATCAGCAAGCCTAGGCGCTGAGTTTACCCACAGCGCCACCACGGCGTCCCCGAGCTTCAGAGTATCGCCCTTAAGAAAACCAGAGGACGTGTGCTTAAGAGGCTGCCTACCTCGGAAGCCAGGAGTGGGGGGCAAAAGCCCACCTTCTCATGGGCCTTGACCCAATCTCTTCAAAGTATCAAATGCAGGGTTATGCTTTGATGGGCTACTCAGAGGGGTTTGGGAGCTGTTTACTGATTCCGGGGCAAAGAGCTGGCTTCGTTTCCAAGCCAGGTCACCGGAAACGGGGGCCGGTTACCCTGCCTCTTAACTGGGACCTCCGCCACCCTCTCTCTCTGCCTTTTGCTCTAGCTGGATTTCATGATGGCCCGCCTGAAGAAGGTGGAGGAATATGAGCGCGAGCTGAACCAGCTGCGGGTGCAAGACGCCGAGGAGTACAACGTGATCAAGATCAAGTTGGAGCATGACGTGCAGGTACGGAGCGAGTATAGACACACACACACACCCCGTCGGGTGCCATCGTCGTGGGGACACTGCGAGCCCTTGCTCTGAGGCACGGTGGGAAGGCAGCGGAGTCACTTCTCCAGCGATTCCTTCATGGACTCTCCTCATTTCATTTGGGGCATCCGCAGGAGCTTAAATGGCAGATTTCAGGGATAATAATGATAATAATAATTTATTATTTATACCCCGCCCATCTAGCTGAGTTTCCCCAGCCACTCTGGGCGGCTCACAATCAAGTGTTAAAAACAATACAGCATTAAATATTAAAAATATCCCTGAACAGGGCTGCCTTCAGATGTCTTTTAAAGATAAGATAGCTGCTTATTTCCTTCACATCTGAAGGGAGGGCGTTCCACAGGGCGGGCGCCACTACCGAGAAGGCCCTCTGCCTGGTTCCCTGTAACTTCACTTCTCGCAGGGAGGGAACCGCCAGAAGGCCCTCAGAGCTGGATCTCACTGTCCGGGCTGAACGATGGGGGTGGGAACGCTCCTCATCGAGGCTGTTTAGGGCTTTCAAGGTCAGCACCAACACTTTGAATTGTGCTCGGAAACGTACTGGGAGCCAATGCAGATCTCTCAGAACCAGCGTTATATGGTCTCGGCGGCCGCTCCCAGTCCCCAGTCTAGCTGCCACATTCTGGATTAATTGCAGTTTCCGGGTCACCTTCAAAGGTAGCCCCACGTAGAGCGCATTGCAGTAGTCCAGGGAATGCTAATGCAATTGCAAATAAGGCTGGGAGGCAAAAATCACCTGGAGGCATGCAATTTGGGGGCTCCCTTCTTAGCTTCCCAGACCAGGACGAGGGCTGTGATGCCCCAATTGTTCCTCTTAATTCAAGAACCATTCTGGGGACCATCAAGATCCTTGTTTCAATTGCAACCTGAATGACTTCCTCTGATCCTCTGCACATAATTTCCCCTCTCCCCATTCTTGGCTTTTTACCCCTTGCTCAGTGTCAGATGTCGGTGGTGGTTGCTCGTGAGTAACCAGGCAGGACTCCGACCTGTCTTTGACAGGTTTTATTTTGGTGCAAAATTATTTACAGTGCAGAACCATCAGTTCATGGCTGCCTCAATCGCTAGCAGAATCCGGGAGTGGTCGTTTCCGGGTCCTCCCCCAGCATAAGAGCTTAGTCACCCCCAGCCTTTTCCTTCCTTCTTTGCGTTTTACACCTCTGCGCAAGATGGGCGACAGAAGAGGTGTGCTTCCCTCCTGGCTGGCTTGGCCAGGAGCAGTGCTGAGGCTCCCTGCAGCATCCTCTAGCCCTTTCCCCTCCTTTACCCGGGAGGTGTGGCTTTCCCCACCCTCAGACTGACAAAGTTCAGCACTGGGACTCCCAGCAGCATCCTCTGGTCTCTTCCCCTCTTCCCCGCTGGAGGTGTGGCTTTCCCCACCGCAGGAAGAGGAACTGCTTCTCAAGATTTTCGGAGGTTCCCTGTATCCCAACTGCCCCTCTGCCTCCCTTCCCTGTTCCGATGGCAGTCCCCTGACACTCAGATCCCCCGCCTAGTCTCTTGGTTTCTGATAAGGGACATCAATGGCTGTGTCTGTTTGCTTTGGGGATGGGGTGTGTGTGTTAGAGGGTGTCATCTTGATTAGTTGTGAGTGTAGTCAGCGGCTGTCCTGTTCACAAGCGACCCAAAGACAAGACAGGCACCAGTTCCCTGGGTCATTTCAAGCGGCAAAGCCGGTCTCCTCTGGAGCAAGTCCACGAGGGGGATTTGCAGCATGGCCTCTGCTTATTCTTCATTTCCTCCCCACTTTGGGTGCCAGATCCTGGAGCAGCAACTCCAGCAGATGAAAGCCATCTACCAGCTGAACCAGGAGAAGCTGGAGTACAACTTCCAGGTCCTGAAGAAACGGGACGAGGAGAACACCATCATCAAATCCCAGCAGAAGCGGAAGCTGAATCGGTAAAGGAGCCTGGCCACTTTCCCCTTCTTCCCTTCCCGCAGCCTGGGATTTAAGCACACCAAATTCTCTGCCGGATCGCGGCCTTAGTATGGATGCTATCCTGCCCCTTGTCCACAGAGAAGTTTCTGGGAAGTTGATGCAGGATGTGCGATATGCCTTTGAAGCAAGAGTCAACACCAATATATATATATATATATGGATGCGTGATTTTTTTGGTGCAGGCTGTAGTAGCCATGGACATGCCGTGTGATCTGATGGTGAATTTGGGGTGACCCAATGCAAAAATCCTGAGGATCCATGGGCTTTTGCCTCTCCTCTCCCAGGCAGCCTCCGCTAGTGTCCCTTATCTCTCTTCTGATCCCACCGATCAGCTGTTTCCTTTCAATACTCCCTTCCCTCTTGTTTGCCTTAGTGTCTTTTCCTTAGCTGGAGGAGTTTTTTTGCTCCTCCCTTTCTTCTAATTTCTCTCCTTATTGCTTTGGTCTTCCTGTTTTTCCCCTTTACAAGTTTGCTGTCTTTACCTCCCCCCTCCCAGGCAGCCTCCTTTATCTCTAGCGTCCCTTATCTCTCTCCCGATTGGCAAGCAATCAGCGGCTTTGTTTCAACACCCACTTCCCTCTTAAAAAAAAAAGCATGATCTGCTTTTTGTGCCTGGGCAATTCGGCTCCAGGGACCACGCATTCGCTCAGTAAGACGCACAGACATTTCCCCATACTTTTTCGGAAGAAAAAAGTGCGTCTTAAGGAGCGAAAAATACTGTGTGCCCCTTCTCTTCTGCTGGGGCCCTTACCACCCTCAGGTCTCGGTGGGTCGCTGGGTCCGCTCTTCCTTTTCGTAAGCCAAGCTCCGCCTCTTCCTCCCGCCTCCAGGTTGCATGATATCCTGAACAACCTGCGCCTCAAGTTTGCCAGGCAGATCAAGCAGTACCGCGAGGAGAACATGGCTCTGACGGCTGACTACAAACGGATTGTGCAGCAGTACAAGGACCTGCAGAGGACCATGAGGTAGGGCTGCACTGGGGCAGCAGAGCTCGTGTGCCGGCAAAGACTGTTGCCCCTTGGCTGCAACAGTCCGAACCAGGGTTCAGCGGGACCGTGCGCGAGTCAGAAGAAGGGCCGAGGCTCAAAACAGCTTGGGGGAATGGGCAAGTTCTGTTCCGAGTCCTTCCTGCTCAGCCCAGGTGCAGACAAAAACGATCCCAGCTCTGAGAGGCTGACAAAACTGGGGCACAGGAGTCAGATTTGGCCTGATCAGGATCTGGTCTGGGGAGCCGAAAGAGTTCCCTGTCAGCTTCGCCTTTGAGTCAGTGCCAACGACTGGGCTCAGCCTCTTCAGCCCCAGTGCCCCGATTGGGCCAGGTGAGCTGGGAAGCACTTCCAGAGAACTTCCACTCAGGAAAAGAGGTCTTAAGTGCAGCGGAGTCACAATTTTGAGCTGTGAGCATCAAACTCAGCACCACAGTCAGCGGAGCACAGCAGAGTATCAATCACACGAACGACAGCTCTGAAGCTCAACTTCTTTATTCTGTTGCAGCTACTGCAAACTAAAATAAACTATACAGCAGTACCTCGGGTTACAGACGCTTCAGGTTACATACACTTCAGGTTACAGACTCCGCTAACCCAGAAATAGTACCTCAGGTTAAGAACTTTGATTCAGGATGAGAACAGAAATCGTGCAGTGGCGGCGCAGCGACAGCAGGAGGCCCCATTAGCTAAAGTGGTCTTCAGGTTAAGAACAGTTTCAGGTTAAGAACGGACCTCTGGAACGAATTAAGTACTTAACCCGAGGTACCACTGTATAGGGTGCCGACATTTTGCATGGACTGGTTGCAGGGCAACATGCGCAAATAGCTTTAGATACCTATAGTTGTTGTTGTTGTTTAGTCGTGTAGTCATATAGCATACAGCGGTACCTTGGGTTATATACGCTTCAGGTTACAGACTCCGCTATCCCAGAAACAGTACCTCGGGTTAAGAACTTTGCTTCAGGATGAGAACAGAAATTGTGGCCCCATTAGCTAAAGTGGTGCTTCAGGTTAAGAACAGTTTCAGGTTAAGAACGGGCCTCCGGAATGAATTAAGTTCTTAACCCGAGGTACCACTGTAAACTAAAGATTAATGGAAGCTACTGGACTGCATGAGTGTTACAGATCGTTATGCAGTCATCTTATCTCTACACAGATAACGCTCAGACTCCCACAGAGTTGGGCAAAAAGAAGCAATGAGTAGATTCCGCCCCCTCCTTTCTGAAACACCATGAGATTCTTTCAATGGGAGGGGTGAAATATCCACATTCCCCACCCCTGGTCTTCACTGGCAACAGCTCCGCAGGGTTTCAGACAGGGTGTCTCTCCCAGTCCTTCCTTAAGATGCTGCTGGAGATTGAGCAGGGACCTCCCACATGCGAGGCAGGTGCTCTACCATCACAGATGTTGGTTAAAGATGGATAAAGGGAGAATGATCTGCCCAAGGCCACCCCTTGGACTTGACGAGGGAGTGGGGATTTAAGAAGTGGATTTCACATCACTTCCAGGAGCTCCCACCTTGCTTGAGATGGCTCCGGGCTTCGCTGACTGATCAGCACATCAGGAGCCAGAAAGGAAACTTCCTTCATGCTTTGATGCTTTGGCCTGGCTCTGATGTGCTCTAGTCCATGGGTAGGCAAACTAAGGCCCAGGGGCTGGATCCGCCCCAATCGCCATCTAAATCCGGCCCGCAGACGGTCTGGGAATCAGAGTGTTCTTACATGAGTAGAATGTGTCCTTTTATTTAAAATGCATCTCTGGGTTATTTGTGTGGCCTGCCTGGTGTTTTTACAGGAGTCGAATGTGTCCTTTTATTTAAAAGGCATCTCTGGGTTATTTGTGGGGCATAGGAATTTGTTCATTTCCCCCCAAAAAATATTGTGCAGCCCCCCACAAGGTCTGAGGGACAGTGGACCGGCCCCCTCTTGAAAAAGTTTGCTAACCACTGCTCTAGTCTATGTCTGGATGATACGTAAGAAAGCATTGGTGTGTATTATTATTATTTTGATGAAACATCAAAAGGAGCAGTAAGAGCTGTCCGACAGCAAAACAGTCTCCCCTGGGAGGTTGGAAACTCTCCTTCCTCGGGCCATTTTTAAGCAGAGGTTGGATGGCCATCTGCCATGGATGCTTCAGCTGAGATTCCTGCATTGCAGGGGGTTGGACTAGATGACCCTTAAGGTAAAGGTAAAGGTACCCCTGCCCGTACGGGCCAGTCTTGCCAGACTCTAGGGTTGTGCGCCCATCTCACTCAAGAGGCCGGGGGCCAACGCTGTCCGGAGACACTTCCGGGTCACGTGGCCAGCGTAACAAGCTGCATCTGGCGAGCCAGCGCAGCACACGGAACGCCGTTTACCTTCCCGCTGGTAAGCGGTCCCTATTTATCTACTTGCACCCGGAGGTGCTTTTGAACTGCTAGGTTGGCAGGCGCTGGGACCGAGCAACGGGAGCGCACCCCGCTGCAGGGATTCGAACTGCCGACCATGCGATCAGCAAGTCCTAGGCGCTGAGGTTTTACCCACAGCGCCACCTGCGTCCCCAGATGACCCTTAGAGGTCCGTTATAACTCTTCCATTCTATGATTCTGCATGCTAGTACGCAGGGCTGAGCTCAGATCCAGTTTGGAAATCATAGAATTGTTGGAGGGGGATTTCCAGCCGGTGGCAGAGGACAGAGTGACTCCAGGAGACATAGGTGTAAAAACCCAAACTAAAACGAAGACTTTATTACTAAGCAAACTTAGGGTTTGAAATCAAGCAGCTAGAAAAATGCTTACCACTTGCACAAGCTCTACTTTTAACCCAAAAAGACGATACTTTGCTACTTGTAAATGTCTATATCCCCCAACCAAAAACAACAGCAGCAGTGAAAATTGGTCACAACTAACCTTTTATATAGAAAATTTGACCGATAAATACCCAAATGCCTCACTGATAATAGCAGGTGATTTTAATGCCAGAGTGGGAACCAACAATGAACAACTATGTAGCAAACTAAATTGGAATACTGATAATGATATCGCACATGCCCTGAAAATAGGACGATTCTCCAGAGATAGGGTTGTAAACAACGAAGGCTTACGCCTACTTGAATTATGTAACAACTTTAATTTGCAGATTGTGAACGGTTCAACAAAAGGCGATAGAAGCGGGGAGTTTACATACTTCTCCCCCCGAGGATGCAGTGTCATCGACTATATTCTTGTCCCTTATAATATTATAAATTCAATCATGGACCTCAAAATTGGAACGCGTACTGAAAGCGACCATCAGCCATTATTGTTGTCTATTAACTTAAAGGACGAAACCAAAATAACCAAGTACAATATCATAGAACCTTCTCAATACAAACAAATGACCCAATTAAAATGGTCCCAGGAAATGAGTGCAGCAGTGGGGCAAAAACTTACAGCCAACCTGAGAAAACAAGTATTATCCAACTTAAAGACCACTAATTCCTACAGTGATATTCCGAAAATTTATAATGAAATCTTCCAAATGTTCGTAGAGCTTAGTACTCCACCTAAAGTTTGGGTACTTAAACATAGCGCTAGCCCTTGGTTTGATGATGAATGTTTCCAGCTAAAAAGAAAGCTGCGCCAAACATTTAAAAATAATCGCGCTAAACTAGAGCCCTCTTATCTTGATGAAAAAAGACAATATCATTACATTCTGGCCGAAAAGAAACAGAAATATGCAACCCAAAAATGGCTACAATTATTCGACTCAATTCAGAGTAAAAACAACAAAGCGTTCTGGAACCTAGTGTACGGAGGATTGAAAGCCGAAAACCAACTAACTCTACCACCAATTGCAGAATCCAAATGGTCCCAATACTTCACATCTGTATTTAACAATCTACACAGTGAACTCAAAGGAAATGAGACCACTAAAAATAAAATCAATAAACTCCAGGAGTGGCCAAGGGTAGAAGAAGAGGAAATTAGAGAGATAGTTAAAAATTTCAAATCGGGGAAATCTCCTGGGCCAGACGGTCTACCAATAGAATTATTCAAGACCTATATAGATTGGTGGGCAGAACCCTTAGCTCAATTGTTTACTCTCATAGATAAATATGGGATCATACCTGAGATATGGTTAAGATCAATAATTATCCCAATCTTTAAAAATGGCGACCCAAAAGAACCAAGGAATTACAGACCGATAAGCCTATTATCAGTGATAGGGAAAATCTACGCTAAGCACCTTTTATCTAAACTCCTTACCTGGATGAAAAATCTAAATTTACCAGGGAAAGAACAAATAGGTTTCTCCAAAGGTTGCTCTACATTAGACCACTGCCTTATACTTATGCATTTGGTTGAAAAATATAGATCCCAAAGGCAATCTAAGATATATGCTGCTTTTGTAGACTTTCGTGGTGCATTCGACTCAATTGACCGCCCAAAGCTGTGGAGGAAACTCGCAGAATTAAAAATTGATCAGCGCTTATTGATTCTAATACAAAATCTATACTCTTCCAATACCTGTCAAGTCAAACTTAACACCAAAGGTCACCTTTCATCAGACATCCCAAACTCGAAAGGGGTAAAACAAGGGTGTATTCTCGCTCCCTTTCTATTTAATTTATTTTTATCAGACTTGCCAGATCACCTCCAAAAAATAGAATCACATGCCCCTAAACTTAATCAGAAACCAGTTCCTCTCTTATTATACGCAGACGATGCTGTCTTACTATCATTAACGAGCTTGGGTCTGAAACGTCTTATATCTTCTCTGATCCTTTACTGCGAATGTAACAAACTCTCTATAAATTATGAGAAGACAAAAATTTTGGTCTTCTCGAATGGTTGGAAATTAGAGAAATGGAAAATAAGAGGGCAAGAAATCCAACAAGTGAAAATCTATAGGTATCTGGGAATCTTATTCCAGAGCAATTTAGGGTGGGCAAATCATCGCACAAATGCCATAAAACAGGCAAAGTGTACCTCATCAGCAGTTGCCCGTTTTTATTATCAGAAAGGTAATCAATTTATTCCTGCGGCCAATCAGATATTTCAAACAAAAGTGCAATCCCAGATATTCTATGGAATCCCGCTATGGGTCCAAGCATATAACAGTGATTTAAAAAAGATTCACTCCAGCTTTCTGAGACGTATTCTTGGACTCCCAGCTGTGATCAAATATGAAACAATGTGTGCAGAAATAGGCATACACACAATGGAATATTGGGCATGGTCCACCTCAATAAAGTACTGGTTACGCTGCCATTTTCGCTGCCCTCCATCAAGTCTGCTCGCTGATTTGCTCAAAGACTCCTATAAATCAAGATGGTATCAATACCTCGAAAAAAAGATTGAATCTTTAGGCATCGAGCTGGAGCCCCTGTACAATTCTAATGAGCAATACATTTTCCATAATATCCTAACTAGACTAAAGGATGTCGAGAGACAAAATATTATGGCAGCTGTAAACAAAATTTGCTCCCCCATATTCTATGATTTAAATATCTTAGATAGCAGAGCCAATTACGTCACTAAATTAATAATCCCAGCCCAACGTAGGGCTTTTATGCTGGCCCGTTTGAATGTTTTTCCCTCAGCATTTGTCAGGGGAAGATATCAAAACATTCCTAGAAACAAGAGATTCTGCAGATGTTCTATGAATGTCCCGGACACTGTAGAGCATATTCTCTTTCATTGCCCATTGTACAGTATCCCACGTCAACGCGTGCTGTCCCCTCTTTTGGGTGGTCTGGAACCCCAGCAAGGTGAATGTGTGGGATTCTGCCTATCCGACGTCGACCAAAGGGTAACGGCGGGGGTAGCCGAGTTTTTGGTAGCAGTCCTCCAAGGAGCAGGTTAACAAGGAAAACCACTGATTTTATATGTATATATATATATATGTATGTAGCCAACTGCTGCCTTTTATATATATTTCAAGGCTTTTATATATTATTTCCTCTTTTATGGTTTTATTTGCACAATGCCTAATAAAGGTTTGATAAGTAAGTACTAAGCAAATAAACACAAACTCTGGTGGATGTTATTCCTGCAGGCAAGCAACAAAACTCAGCTTTTTTCCTTTATAGCAACGGTCACCTGCAGCCAATTAATCCCAGAAACTTCTTAAAGGTATACACACATGTTTCTGTGCCGAATGTCCTCTAACAAGAATGGTAGAGTTGGAAGGGACCGTGGGGGTCATCTAGTCCAACCCCCTGCAATGCAGGAATCATTTGGTCCAAGATGGGGCTAGAGCTTCCAAACCTGAGGTTTAGAATCAACTTGATCCCCTTCCCCTCTTTCCTTTTTTCCTTTCTCCTTCTGTGATGGAACTCCTATTTGGGGACTTCCCTGGCTTTTTCTGGCCCACGTAGGACCAGTCTGGATAGTTAGCCTTGGTGAAGACTTGATGTTTTCATCCCCAAAAAGGTTTCTGCTGAAATGAGGTTGCATTTTAATGTTGTATTTTAATCTTGTTTTTTAAGTTGTATTTCAATCAATTGTTTTATATCTGGTGTTAGCCGCCTCGAACCCAGTCTTGGCTGGGGAGGGCGGGGTATAAATAATTTATTATTATTATTATTATTATTATTATTATTATTATTATTATTATTGCCTCATGCTCCACCTTTCACCTTCAACGCAGGCACTTTGCCATCGTGGACGCTGAGCACTTCCTGGATGTGTGGCTGATGAACGAGGAGGAGGCCAAGGGCCTGATCCGCAAGGCCTTCAGCGCCGACCGCGTCATCCACGCCCAGCAACTGGGGTTACAGTGGATCGAGCCAGACAGCTGGTTCCTGCACAATGTGGGTCCCATCGTGCACAGCAAGAAGATGAAGTCAGCCAGCGAACTGGCCAGGGAGGTGATCGCGCCAGAGAGTAAGCAAGGCTGTCGCTCACCCCCATCCCACCCCCTCTCCTTTGCTGCTTGGGAACCTGGGCATAAAGGTAAAGGGACCCCTGACCATTAGGTCCAGTCGTGGCCGACTCTGGGGTTGCGGCGCTCATCTCGCTTTATTGGCCGAGGAACCGGCGTACAGCTTCCGGGTCATGTGGCCAGCAGGACTAAGCTGCTTCTGGCGAACCAGAGCAGCGCACGGAAACGCCGTTTACCTTCCCACCGGAGCGGTACCTATTTATCTACTTGCACTTTGACGTGCTTTCGAACTGCTAGGTTGGCAGGAGCAGGGACCGAGCAATGGGAGCTCACTCCGTCGCGGGGATAAATAAATTCCCCTCACTGCTTGTTAAAGTCATTGTCTTCTTGATTTCTGAGCTTCCCAGTTAGTTTTGCCATTTCGGCACAGTCCATCAACTTGGCTTGCCATTCGGTTTGCACCTCTCTTTATCCCCGCTTCCGGGCATCGCTCTTCCCTTCAGCCAGCAAGTCTCTCACGTTGGAGGGCGGCTTCCGAGATGAGAAGGAAAGCGCCCCAGACGAGGACCGCCAGGGGCCTGAAGGCGCAGAGCCAGAGGTCAAGGCGCTTTGGTCCATCTCCACCAAGACGGTCAAGCACATCCTGGAGCTCCTGTGCGATGAGTCGGTGAGTGGGGTGGGGGGCAGGCGGGCAGGCGAGCAAGTGGGATGCCATGGTGGCTGGACTTGCCCTGGCCTGCCAGCAGGGCCTTGCAGAGCCAGGAATAGGCCTGGGCCAGGTACCGTATTTTTCGCTCTATAGGACGCACTTTTTCCCCTCCAAAAATTAAGGGGAAATGTGTGTGCGTCCTATGGAGCGAATGCAGGCTCCTTGGCTTCAGCGATAGCAACGCAAAGCCTCCGAAGCGCAGAGGGAGCGCTCCCTCCGTGCTCCGGAGGCTACGCGTTGCTTTCGCTGAAGCCTGGAGAGCAAGAGGAGTCGGTGCGCACCAAGCCCTCTCACTCTACAGGCTTCAGGGATAGCTGCCTGAAGCCTTTGGAGCACAGCGGGAACTTGCCCTGCGCTCCAAAGGCTTCGGGTTCCTTTTGCGGAAGCCGGGAGAGCAAGACTCTCCTGGCTTCAGCAGAGAGGGAGAGCTGCGCAGCGCCCCTTCAGCGAAGCAGGAGAAGAAATGGAAGGGGCTCCTTTTCTCCTGCCGCTTCGCTGAAAGGGCGCTGAGCAGAGAGGGGGAGATTTTTTTTTCTTGTTCTCCCCCTCTAAAACAAGGTGCGTCCTATGGTCGTGTACGTCCTATAGAGCGAAAAATACGGTAGATAATGTGCCCCCTGCTTTTTTTTACCATGAAGTCTTATAAATAAGTATATAACATATTTTTTTATATAATGTATTATAATTTTAAATACATTTTACAATAAATGCATTATTCATTCTAAAACGTATTATACCATTTTTGATAGTTCAATAATGTATTTAAAAATCTATTTAATTATAATTATAATTAAAACGTCTCCATCTTCCTATTCTACTCTTAAAAAAGACGTATGCTTGTGAGAAAGCCGCTATTGCTCATAGGCCACTATTTCTTTAAAAAACATGGTTTCCACCCAATTTTATCCTCATTGAGCTATATATATGTACTCCTCGGGTGTAAGTAATATTCCTGGCCTAGTCAACCAAATGTTAAACACATGGCCACATCTTCCGCAATTTTTCATCCTTTTCAAAAAAAAAAAATTAGCGATAAGAAAGCCAACACACTTTAAGGTACATGTGGTTTTAATTTTTGGCAAATAAGATTTCAAACAAAAACTCACCAACTTTTAACAGCATGGAAAACGTGGTCTGCCATCACGTTCGCGGCGCTCGTTGCTGGAGCCTTGGTTGCCTCCACCCACCCGGCGCCCGTTCCGCGCTTCTCTGCGGAGCCAATCGCAGGCCCCGCTCCTGACGCCAGGAAGCTTTTCTCTCATGCTGCCAGCCATGGCCCCAGGGAATCCGCCCACCGCCGCCTTTGCGCCTCTGCGTTCGCCCCAGTTCATCCCCAGCGATTGTGAATATGCTGACCTTCGGCTCTGAGCCGTGAGGAATCCTTTGCCCCCCTCTCTTTTGCCAGGGCTTCCTGATCGAGAGCAAACTGCGAGGTCTCCTCCAGCCCCTGGAAAAGCACGACCGGACCCTCATGAGGCTGGATTCCATCTTCACGGTAAGGTTATGGGCCCATCTGCCCGTTTTGGGTTCCTTCTCTCTCTCTTTTGCAATCTGAAGTTCCGCATTTTCACACATCAATTTATTTGGGGGGGGGTGGAATCCTCTGTCGAAGTTTGTTTATTTCAGGCATAGGCAAACTCGGCTCTCCAGATGTTTCGGGACTACAACTCCCATCATCCCTGACCACTGGTCCTGTTAGCTAGGGATGATGGGAGTTGTAGTCCAACAACATCTGGGGACCCACAGGTTGAGAACTGCTGGCCTAGATTGACATTTTAGCTTGGATAAAAAAATATACAGTGGTGTCTCGCAAGACGAAAAGAATCCATTCCGCGAGTCTCTTCGTCTTGCGGTTTTTTCGTCTTGCGAAGCAAGCCCATTAGCGGATTAGCGCTATTAGCGGCTTAGCGGATCAGCTGTTTAGCGGCTTAGCGGATCAGCTGATAAGCGGCTTAGCGATCAGCTGTTTAGCGGCTTAGTGGATTAGCAGATCAGCTGTTAAGCGGCTTAGCAGCTTAGCGGATCAGCTGATAAGCGGCTTAGCGGCTTGGGGAAAAGGGGGGGAAAGGGAAAAAAACCTGCAGGAACTCGCAAGATATTTTCGTCTTGCGAAGCAAGCCCATAGGAAATTCGTTTTGCGAAGCACCTCCAAAACGGAAAACCCTTTCGTCTAGCGGGTTTTCCGTCTTGCGAGGCATTCGTCTTGCGGGGCACCACTGTATTTGATAACAATCTTTGCATTTCTCTTTTTGCATTTTTTTTTTTAAATCCCACAATGTGAGATTTTCCCAAAAGTTCAAATGAACACAGGAGGCAGCCATTTCTCCCACGGTGGAAGGGCCTGCCTGAGCTCTTCTACAACCTCACCTGGGAGGAGCATCACACGCTAATCCTGGCACTGGAGGCTAACCGGTCACCTGCTAGCTTTCCCTTCCTCTCCGCAGGCTCTGTCCATCGTCAGCGAAGACGACGTGTATCACCTGGTGCAGTTCTTCAGGGGCTTCAAGGCTCAGCAGGTGGCTGCTAATCCGGTAAGGCTGGGGTGGGGCTGGAACGTGGCGATGGGGCTAGCTCAGACATAATAAAACATAATGAATCCTTAATTGTTATCCACCTCCTTTTACTTCCTTTGTCACTCGAATGCTAGCACAGAGTCAAAACTATTATTGTATTTTTGAACACATCTTCTGCAACCATCCCATTTCCCCGCAAATTTTGCTTTGAGTTACCTCTGAGTTTGCTAGTCAATTGAGCCATCTCCACCAATTCCGGTAATTTGATTTGCCAATCTGTTATTTTTGGAGCCTCCTGATCTTTCCATTCCTTAGCCACAAGTATTTGAGAGGCTGCAGTTGCATACAAGAATAGCTCTCTTAAATTTCTCTCTTCCACTTCTTCACTAAGTGGCATTTTGTGCTGCTTTCCCCCCATAAGTCTCAGCTCCACTGGGCTGCGTCAGAATCCCGGGGGACCCGGATAAACCGTCTCCTTCTGTGTCCCCTTGCCTCGTAGGAGTTGGAAGAGTTCCTCGCGGAGCTAGGCCCCAAAGAAGAACCTTCAGAGGTCGAGGCGGAGGAGGAGGGCGAGAGGGAGAGGGAGGGCTCTTTGGCCCCGCCAGACGAGGACAAAGCCCCCCCAAGCACGTCTTCGATTCTCTCTGCTTTGTACATGCACCCCAACGACATCCTTAAAGCCCTTAAGGCTTTCGTCCAGGAATTCCAGGAGCCAAGGTGTGTCTGCCTGCGGAAGAGGAGGAAGAGGCTAGGGCTGGTTTGGGATGCTGTGGGGAGGAAGGATGTGTGGGGCTGCTCTAAGAAATAATAATAATAATAATAATAATAATAATAATAATAATAATAATAATAATAATAATAATTTATTTGTACCCCGCCCATCTGGCTGGGTTTCCCCAGCCACTCTGGGCAGCTTCGAACGGAATATTAAAATACAATAACCTATTAAACATTAAAAGCTTCCCTAAACAGGGCTGACTTCAGATGTCTTCTAAAAGTTTGGTAGTTATTTTTCTCTTTGACATCTGCTGGGAGGGCATTCCACAGGGCGGGCGCCACCACCGAGAAGGCCCTCTGCCTGGCCCCCTGTAACTTGGCTTCTCGCAGTGAGGGAACCGCCAGAAGGCCCTCGGCACTGGACCTCAGTGTCTGGGCAGAACGAAGGAGGTGGAGATGCTGCTTCAGGTATACTGGACCAAGGCCGTTTAGGGCTTTAAAGGTCAACACCAACACTTTGAATTGTGCTCAGAAACGTACTGGGAGCCAATGCAGATCTCTCAGGACCAGTGTTATATGGTCTTGGTGGCCGCTCCCAGTCCCCAGTCTAGCCGATGCATTCTGGATTAGTTGTAGTTTCCGGGTCACCTTCAAAGGGTGATAGAGCGCGTTGCTGTAGTCCAAGCGGGTGATAACCAGAGCATGCACCACTCTGGCGAGACAGTCTGCGGGCAGGTAGGGTCTCATCCTGCGTACCAGATGTAGCTGATAAACAGCTGCCCTGGACACAGAATGGACCTGCACCTCCATGGACAGCTGTGAGTCCAAAATGACTCCCAGGCTGCACACCTGGTCCTTCAGGGGCACAGTTGCCCCATTCAGGACCAGGGAGTCCTCCACACCTGCCCGCCTCCTGTCCCCCAAAAACAGTACTTCTCTCTTGTCAGGATTCAACAGGGAACAGCGGCAGCCCGGAAGAGATGGACAGAGGGCAGCTCAGTCCGTGGAGCACGAGACTTTTAAGCTCAGGGTTGCGGGTTCGAGTCCAGTGTTGGGGAAAAGATTCTTGCATTGTAGGGGGTTGGACCAGATCACCCTTGTGATTGCTTCTAGCTCTACGATTCTGTGCGATGGCTTCCCTCCACATGAGTTTCTGGGTTGAGGGAAGTACTGCGATTCAGCGATGGAGCGCTGAGTTTGCATGCAAAAGAAAAAACTTGCCCCAAACCCTGGAAGAACTCCCTCTCTCCCACACCCTAATCCCAGTCCAGATCAGGAGGGGACAGGCGGACACCGGGGACCTGCAGCTTCTTGTTATTTCTTTATTTTTGACCATGCAGTTATTGCTCAAATGGCGTTCACCTCTCGCAACGGGCTTATTGGCCCCCTCCCTGGCCACACTTCCTTCCCAAGCAAGGCATGAGCTGAGCTCCTGATCAGCCCAGCACTCTCACGGGAGAGGGGAATGGCAGCCCATGTTGGGATTTTTCTTTTTTTCCAATTTTTTTAATTAATCCAAATTTATAACAAACATAAAAGAAAAACAATACAAGAAAAACAAACAAACATATATCCTGTTAAAATCCCAATTTAATTGTCACTGTTAAGTGACTTCCTCGAATACCCCCTAGCTGAGTTTCCATAGAACTCATTGTAGCAGTTTTCCAATTCCACTTTCCAATAAAATTAACTTATTCAATTAACATCTTTCTTTCTTTTCTTAATTTCAATCCATAATGTTATACAATTCAACATATTTTACTCCTAGGCCAGTTCGGTACTTACAAGTAACTCTAATTATATTATCTTAGAATATCTAGCTAAATAATCCTTGGATTTCTTCCATTCTTCTTGATGCTCCTCCTCTTTCTGTTCGCGGATTCTTCCAGTCAGGCCAGCCAGCTCCAAAAAGTCCATCATCTTCATCTGCCATTCCTCCACTGTTGGTATTTCTTGTGGTTTCCAATTTTTGCCTAACAAAATTCTTGCTGCAGTTGTGGCATACAAAAACAATCTGACATCTACCCATGTTGGGATTTTTGACTATGTGCCATTCTGTGCAGCTTCACACAAAGCAATTAAGCGCTGGCCGAAAGCCAAGACGACTGAGCAGAGAGGAGTTATTCTGCCTAGACATATGAGATCTTGGATAAACGCTCTAACATTGGTTGAGATCTTACACAGGCATGATGACTTATGACCTTACTTACTGGATAGTTTATTGGTCAGTGTGGTGTTCTGAGAGTCGTTTGGAGTTTGTTAAGAGAGAGCCAGTTAAGATCCGTATCTGTTCTTGTATATAGTAACTTGTAGGTAAAGGGACCCCTGACCATTAGGTCCAGTCGTGGCCGACTCTGGGGTTGCGGCGCTCATCTCGCTTTATTGACCGAGGGAGCTGGCGTACAGCTTCCAGGTCATGTGGCCAGCATGACTAAGCCGCTTCTGGCGAACCAGAGCAGCGCACGGAAACGCTGTTTACCTTCCCGCCGGGGTGGTACCTATTTATCTACTTGCACTTCATGCTTTCGAACTGCTAGGTTGGCAGGAGCAGGGACCGAGCAACGGGAGCTTACCCTGTCATGGGGATTCGAACCACCAACCTTCTGATCGGCAAGTCCTAGGCTCTGTGGTTTAACCCACAGCGCCACCCACGTCCCTAGTAACTTGTAGAGTCTGCTGTAAATAATAAACACCTCTAAGTAACCAAGTTACTAGTAGCAGCATTTTGTTCCTGCTTCATCCATCCTACCTGCAACTGATTGCTTTCTGGAACTCTCTGTATGCTCTGCTAAGGTCTGGCTAAGGTCCTGCAACAGGTCAAAGTTGTGAAACACCAATAGCCTGTTCATGGGACTCATCCTTTTTCCTCTTGTGGGTGGTTGCTTTAGATGGAGGGGGTGGCACAAATTATTATTATTATTAGAATTAGAATTTATACACCGCCTGTTTCACAGAACAGAATCAAAATATAAAACCACAAAATATATAATAAAAATAACAGCCCAGTAACACACACCCCAAAATCCACATTTTAAAAGTAGGGGTGGTATTTGAGTGCGCCGCAAGTGTTGTGGGTGGGCGGAAGGAGCATGTCTGGTTCCGTTTCCCACTTCCCAGCCATTGACTCTCCCTCCTTCCCACCTCCAGGGATAAATACCCCCTGGTGAAGAAAGCGCGCGAAGAACGGGACGACTCTAAGGACTCGGAGTATTGGGACGCTCTCGCCCACGCCATCCCGGACGGGAATCTGAAGCTGTGGGATGCCCTGGTCTCTGGCTTACACAAATACCAGTAAGGCAGGGGCGGGGCTGGGTAGGTCCTGTTAAGTCCCTGCACGTCTCCCCAGGGAGGGGGGTCGTTGAGGTGGGGGCCATTGAAGAGAAGGTGGAGCACATTTGAGCTAGGTGCCCTGCCCTGCGGAGGCCCTTTCCCTGATGCCAGGAGTACTCCTCGCCCGTCTAGCCTGCGCCACGGGTGACCCCTGGTGGGGAGAACATGCCTCTTCCTTGCCTGGTTTTCGTGGTAACAGTTTCCCCTCTCCCTCCCCCACCTGAGAGCCAGCGTGGTGTAGTGGTTAAGAGCGGTGGACTCGTAATATGGGGAACCGGGTTCGCGTCTCCGCTCCTCCACATGCAGCTGCTGGGTGACCTTGGGCCAGTCACACTTCTCTGAAGTCTCTCAGCCCCACTCACCTCACAGAGTGTTTGTTGTGGGGGAGGAAGGGAAAGGAGAGTGTCAGCCGCTTTGAGACTCCTTCGGGTAGCGATAAAGCGGGATATCAAATCCAAACTCTTCTTCTTCTTCTTCTGTGCAGCCATATCCTGGACCAGAGAGCAAAGCTGATCGCTGAGACGGACGGGCTGAGCCAGCAGAATGCAGAGCTCAGGATGCTGCTACGGCAGTATCTCCAGTCCCCGGTGAGCAACGGGCTGCGGGACCGAGGGGAGGAGGGCATTGTTGGGGCAAAGGGTCCACTCTGGCAGGAGAGGCGCTGCTGCTGCTGCTGTGGGTGGAACTCAGTTCCACAAGGTTCCTTCTCTGCCTGGGGTGTGTATCTGAAGATGTGTGCATGCACACGAAAGCTCATACCAAGAACAAACTTAGTTGGTCTCTAAGGTGCTACTGGAAGAAATTTTTTTTTTTTTTTTTTTTTACTATGGCAGACCAACACGGCTAACTACCTGTAAATCGAATAAAAAAAATATTTTAAAAAAGAGAATCATAGAATTGTCGAGATGGAAAGGACCCCAAGGGTTATCTATTCCACCACCCTGCAATGCAGGAAGTTTAACTTTTAAGCATCACCCACCCTGGCTGGGCAGGAGTGGGCGCTATTGATGGTCTTTGCTTCCCTTTCTGCAGGTGAATGCAGAGCTGTTGATCCCTCCAACCCACTTGCTGCACCTGCAAATGAACACCTGATGTCCTGGCGTGGTTGCTGCCCCAGCATCTTCCTCAAGGCATCCCAGGGAGCCTTGCTTAACTCCTCAAAGGAGTGTTGGCGGGGGAAAGAAGGCTTGGCCTGTCGTTCCCTCAGCTGCCCTTGAGCTCTGGTTTGGGTCACACCTTGGTGAGTAGTCCCTGGCGAAGTACAAGCCACACAGCTCTTCCCCAGCAACTGGGGCATCCCAGGAAAGGCTTGCAAACACTTTTGACATGTGTTGGGATCAGGACCTTTGAGTGTCCTGAAAAATCCCCATCTGATGTGTTTCAGAACCAGCAAAACTCACCACTGACCCTCCCAAAATGTTAACTTTCGCGTTTGTTACCCCTTGGGAGAAGATGTTACTCGGAACGCAGAGGTTTCTAAGTGTCAGGGAGAGGAGGCAAATAAATGGCTAATTGTTGTGGCTGTTCTGTTTCTCCCGTCTTATATTTGCTGCTGTTGCTTGAGGCGAAGAATGAATGGGGAGCGGGGTGGGATCCGTTTCTGTTTTCAAACTGTTCAGTGTGCTTAAAGATGGACCTCCAGTTCCTCTTGAGGCAAGAGGAGGTTGGAACCCAGAGCCAAAATAATTTGATGAATGGGGCTTTTAGGACCCTGGAAGCAGCCCAGACAAAATAAGCGGGGTCAGAGGTCAGAGAGGGCACCTGTGAGGCCAAGTACAGTGGTACCTCGGGTTGCAGACGCTTCAGGTTACATACGCTTCAGGTTACAGACTCCGCTAACCCAGAAATAGTACCTCGGGTTAAGAACTTTGCTTCAGGATGAGAACAGAAAATCGTGCTCCGGCGGTGCGGCAGCAGCCCATTAGCTAAAGTGGTACTTCAGGTTAAAAACAGTTTCAGGTTGAGAACGGACCTCCAGAACGAATTAAGTTCTTAACCCGAGGTACCACTGTAATTGGAGGTTCCTTGTTCTGCCCGGAGGGTTGCTTGTGGCAAGTGCCACCCAAACCAGGTGCCCTCAAGGGTATAAATGGGACCAGATCATGAAGATGGTGGCAAACTGCAAGAGAGGCCCTGCAATGAAGACAGGGGGATGTGGGCAGGACAGATGTGGGTGCACAGAGGCCAAGTGGTAGGTGAATGTTGAGGCACTACAAATCCCCATGCTTCCTGGGTGCATGAGCAGATCTGCAAGAGTCTTAACCTGACAATTCTCTTAGAAGTTTTCTGTTCCTAGGATGCTCAGTGTAGTGAAATCACCAGCTGCTGCCAGGTGGGTAACGGGCAGGCTGAGGTCTCAGGACCCAGGGAACTAGGCATCATGAAAGGAAAGGGGAACCCTGATCTAGACCTCCTGTTTCTCCTGTAGCTCCATTCCGTAATACTTTTGGGGTTCTCTGAAACACCAGGCACTCACTGGCTAGGTTTATATAAGCCACTAGTTTGTAGGTATTTTCTGTCGGAGGTTCCGTTCGACCGAGCTGTCTTTAATGTAGACTGAGGCTGTTTACCAGCAGCTCTCATCAATCTTCTTGACACACACAGAAGATAAGCTGCATTCCGGTCTGGCGCCCATAACCAAAAATGTTGGAGGTTCCGTTCGACCGAACTGAAATAGATCTCCTCCTCTGCGTTCTTCGGAATCCATCAGGCTCCCCTCCTCCAACGGTGATTAACAACCTAAGCCTTTGATGAAGCTTCTGGCACGTTCCTCCATTACGCAGAGTATCCAAGCAGCAGAAGGAGAGAAAAATATGTGCTACATCGCTATGTTTATTTCTGACTACCCAGGACAGAAAAGAATATGCACCTGCTCTCTGTGAGAGTCAGTGAACAACTGGACAAAGAAACAGGAAACCAGTAACATCAACATCAGTCTCCCGTGAGAATACCAACAGTCTGGAATGTAAACAGAATCTTGTGACTCCAAAAACTGCACAGTGGTATAACAGAAACCCAACATTTTCATTCCTTCCTTCATCACTGCACAAAAAGCAATCCAGACTCTGTTCCTTTCTGGTGATCTGTTTTTATTAAAGAACTTACAGATTTATCTCCTGATCCGTACAGCAAATCCCAAAGACCCCGTATTAACAGTGCACAGAGAACACCCACCCGCAAAAGAACCCTCCCCGCAACAGTAGAGAAACAGGATCAATCCTTTACACACACCTCAGGAAATCAGGACGAGAAAGACAGGATGAAACACACAAGCCACCAGGTGTGCCAGAGCTGCAGGAGGGAGAGAGGGGCAGAAGGGCAGCATTTCCCTGTGCTGGTTTCTCTAGGGCTGCCTTCGCCGACCCGGCACCCTCCGGATGCTCTAGGCTGGCGAAGGCCACTCTAGAGATGAGTTGTGCTAGAGCTGGGCCACCTGCCACCTCCATCTGACCCCCAAATCTTCCCCTGCCTCTTCCCTTCCCAACACATTGGTCCCCTGTGGCTCTCTCTCTCACTCCACACCACTGCCCAAGCCCCATGGCTGCTACGGTTCCCTTGTGACTGCCTGGTGTGCTAGCCTTGCCCACCGTTAGCCGTTATCTGTACCTAGTAGATGCTAAGGGTTGATGGCTTGCCCAAAAATCGGCCACGGCTGCCCGGCGGCTGTTTTTTTGGTGATGTGGGATTTGGAGCCAGTGATGTGCTTTTTAGGAGCTTCAGACCACCCTCCCAGCTTGCCTCTCGAGTGCGGGGAGAGAGAGAGGAGCAGGAAGGGCAGCCTAAGAGTCACGTGGAAGAGGGACCGAAAGGATCCCGCAAGAGAGGCGATGCCTCGATACAGCGGTGCGTTGCGTCAAGCCGGTGGGCCCGTTGCAACACTTTGCATGACTGCTGTGCTTCTTAAGTCAGCGCTCCCTGCAGATTTTGCAGAAGATGGATTAGAGACCGGGCCAGGATAGGGGTCCGGTAAGCCCTTCAAAAACCTATGGGTCTCAAGGAGGTGCCCAAACATGCTGGGCGACGGTGATGCTGTACTGGCCACGTGTCACCCGGTCCACCCACCCCTTTGGTCTTTCTAGCTTTGCCTGTCTCAATCAGCGAATTCGCTTTAAGAAGCAAGCTGCATCCTTTAGCCTCATCGCCCTACTTGAAGGGTTTCAACAACAATCCCTTGTTTCAAAAGGACGCGCCTTCTCCATATACCGTCTCAACCCTGAAGAATGTGCTGCTTATCCCTTATGTCAGAATAAAAACCGCTTATGGGAACCCTCCACTGACTCAAGGAAAGAGGAGACGTGAATATTTCAGTTTCTAGGGATGGGGATGTCTTGGTCTGGGAAGCAGGTTGTCCCTTACCTTCCTGTTGAGTCACCAGCCACGAAAGGCTGCTTTGGACTCGGTCATCAGAAACGTTCGTCGAGCCTGTTTCCTTCTCCCTGCCCCAACCAGGGTTCAAGTGGCTAGGGATCTTGGCTGAAGATCATAGCCAGCCCATCAAAGGGCCGAGGGACTAGAAAATCTGGAGACTGGAGTCTCTCCCCCATCTCCACGTTATTGCTCTGTGCTCACACACGTGTCTGGGTGTGTCCAAGCACCATCCGTGTCAGGCTTATGGGATATTCTTGAAGAGCCCAGGACCGAGCGAGAGCTGTCTGTGCTTATCATCCAATGAATAATGGTCCTATTTATCTAGTACTTTTCGAGCTTATCTTGGTGAAATCTGCATGAGAGCCCAGTAAGAGGTCAGTATTGTTATCCTCAAACTGCAGAGGGGGCCGGCAAAGCGGACTGCCTAAATTGGGAACTCACGGCTTGGGGATTGGTGGATTTGCAGCACAGTCTTTTATATGTTGCAATCCTCAGCCCACTGACAGGCGAGCAAACCCCAGAGAGCTCAGTGGGACTTGCTTCTGAGCAGACACACGTGTACCATTGCACCGTCGGCCGCTACGCTTGCTCCCACCAGGGGGAGATACCCCATCTTCTCTCAGCACCTGCAGCTGATGAACGGACTAATCTCCTGGTTTGTGCTCACCCTCGGAAAATGTGGGTAGGCATTGCTCCAGCACGGCAAATGCCTCAATTCTCCCTACCGGGCTGGGAACCAGCAGGAAGCTGTGCCCATCTGTGGTGGGCCAGGGGGTAGCCTCAATAAAGAAAATGACAGCATCAGGCGCCAACCAGGGGCGCCAGAATCTCAGTGGATCACGTCACACCTAGCGCGAGGAGGCGAAGGCTCTGGCATTCCCAGAGCCTCGTGCGGAGTTTTGCTGCGGAAGTAAAAACAACGGAAAAGGAGGGAGAGACAGGCGAACATGTCAAATCCACACAGAGCAGAGACTGGGTGGCTCCACCTCATGGGTTCATTTGTGGAGGATGCTCCAGTTGAGGCAAGGCGGGTGCGAGAGAGGAGTCCTTAGGCTGCGAGGCTCTCCAGCTCCAAAGACTTAGGCTGGAGAGGCCGAGAAGAATTGCTGAGGATATAGCGCTCATGTCTGGGGGGGTTAAAGAAAACTCCTTTCTCCCCCTTCCCCAACACCGCGGAGCAAATTCCAAGCTCCTGCTGCCCCCATCCCACCCACATATTTCCCAAGAGGAAACACAAGGAAGTCACAAAAAAGAAACACAAACGAGAGCCGGCGATGACCAAGAACGGCAGGCTCAGAAAGTGGGGGGCCCAGGGTGTAGGCAGCTTCCTCCTCATGCTCCGAGGAGCTTTTTGACCATGTAGCCGGGCATGGAGTAGAGGAAAAGGGCCACCATGATGATCAGCAGGAGGGCCAAGACGATCTTGATGATGAGCCACTTGTAGCGGGTGCAGATGAGGTACCGTATGGACTTGAGCGGGTTCAGGAACCAGATGAAGGATGTATCCGGACGACTGTGAGGAGAGAGAGGGTGGGGGGAGAAAATGTCCAGGGCTGGAGTCAGACGCACGTCAGCACGAAAGACGCAGGGCTTCATCCACAGTGAAGCTCATTCTTTATTCAAGGAAACGGCAGGCAACTCAGCAACGCTCCCCTAAGGAGCATCTTCCAGGACTGAAGGTCCTTGCCTTCCACCCTCTCTAAGACTCCTCCTCTACCAGATGTTTTCCCAGCAGCCTCAAACCTCTGTCCTCTGGCCTGCCCTCGTTATTCTGCTCATTCAGGGAGGAGGGGAGTTTGTCGCAGCTGGAGAGAGAGACTTCCTGGATTCTCCAGCAGCCTCTTGACCCCCACTCCTCTGCTTCAGCCTCGGAGTCTGAACTGCTCCTGTTGCCGACTCTCCCTGCTCACTAAACCCTGTTGCCACATCAGCATCCAGCCCCTCCTCCCAATCTCCCCCCTCTGAGCTCTGCTCGGTGTCCCACCACCAACCCCCTGGCTCTGAGCCTTCCTCCTCTGGGGGTTTCCCTTGGGGGATTCCCCAGCTGGCGCCTCCCACCGCTCCTCTTTGCCCAGCCGGTCCCTGACACACGCTTAGCAAGGGCGACAGTTTCCTCGGGGCAGCGGGGAGATGGCTTCCTCAGGTCACACCTCGGACCCTGCCAACTCACAAGACTTGGCCACCTTCCCACTTGCATTGCTGGCCCGATGACACCAGCAACCTAAGCAGGGGCTGGATGGCAGTGACTTTTCAGGAAGCAAATGCAAGCCCTGCCTTGCGACCCGCCGGGCCCTTGACAACTCTCATCTCACTGGTGGGTCACCATACACAGCTGTCAAAAACTGGGGCCCCAGCTGTTTGCATCTGCCTCGGGAACACCAGCAAACCCACCCTCTCTTGCAAGGCCTGGCAACACAGGTCAGGGCGTCAGGGATTCTGGAATGCGATTCTTGGGAGGAGCATGCGGGTCAAGTAGTTTGGGTGGGCAGAGATGGCTGCCCTCTAGCAGACCAGCTGCTCTCTGGCTGATCACCTCTGCTCATTATTTCCTAGGATACTTTGCTGAAACCGCAGCTCAGCCACAGGGCCCACGTTCAAGCACAGCCATGTTGGACATAGTAGGGCGTCTCTGAGTACGTCAGCCCCTCACACACCTGAGGTTAAGGAGCAAGGAGTATAACCTGGGAAACCAGGTGTCTTCTCACCTGTCCCTCTTCCTCTCCCACCTTCTAAAGGTTTTTTTGAGGGGGGACTCTCCTCCTTTTTTTTCTTTTTTCTTTTTGATGGGGACGCGGGTGGCGCTGTGGGTTAAACCACAGAGCCTAGGACTTGCCGATCGGAAGGTCGGTGGTTCGAATCCCCGCGACGGGGTGAGCTCCCGTTGCTCGGTCCCTGCTCCTGCCAACCTAGCAGTTCGAAAGCACATCAAAGTGCAAGCAGATAACAAGGTACCGCTCCGGCAAAAAGGTAAACGGCATTTCTGTGCACTGCTCTGGTTTGCCAGAAGCGGCTTAGTCATGTTGGCCACATGACCCGGAAGCTGTACGCCGGCTCCCTTGGCCAATAAAGCGAGATGAGTGCGGCAACCCCAGAGTCGGCCACGACTGGACCTAATGGTCAGGGATACCTTTACCTTTACCTTTACCTCCTATGTCTCTTATCTGTCCCTCCCCACCCTGCCCATGTTTCCCGAAGCGGCCCCTGGGGTGGGCGTTGGGTGGAAAAAAGGAAGGTACCCTGAGGAAAGAGGGACAGACCCTTTCAGGCCCCAAGCAGCTTCTTGACCATGTAGCCGGGCATGGAGTACAAGAAGAGTCCGACCATAAGGAGCAAGAGAACGAGGAGGAGGATTTTCAGCAGAAGCCAGCGGTACGTGTGCCAGATAAAGTAGCGGATGGACTTGAGAGGGTTCAGGAACCAAATGAAGCTGGTATCTGGGCGGCTGGGGCAGGAGGGTGAGGTGGGGCGAGGAGGAGAGAGACCGAGGACACAGGGGAAAGAGAGACAGGGAGAGATGAACGGAGTCAACGGAGGAGGGAAAGAACAGGAAAGGCACATCAACGGGGTAGTGTGTCCCACCCAAGACTGTTGGTGGCCACTGCTGTTCCCTGTGTGGCTGTGCAGCCCTCGGACCTCCCCTGTTATGCCTCCATCCATGTGGGTGTCTGCTTGGGGACCTCCTCTCCCACCACCCCTCTCCCTCCCCTCTCGCCACTCACTTGGGTTTCTCCAATGGGTCGGGCTCGTTACGAGCCAGCCCGGCCGGACTTTTCTCGGCTTCCTCGGCCGTCAGAAGGTGAAGCTCAGCCTCCACTTTTCCCTGTTGGGGAGGAAGGAGGCTAGAGGTGAGTTTTGAACCCACGGACATCCAGTGAAGCTGAATGCTGGAAGACTCAGGACAGATAAAAGAAATGACTTCATCACATAACACAATAGCTGAACCATGGAACTCCTTCCTGCAGGAGGCAGTGATGGCCACCATCTTGGATGGCTTTAGAAGATTCATAGAGGAGAGGGCTATCAATGGCTACTAGCCAGGATGACTATGATCTATGATTAAAGCCCTAAATGGACTCGGTCCTGTATACCTGAAAGAGCATCTCCACCCCCATTACCCGGAAACTACAACTAATCCAGAATGCGGCAGCTAGACTGGTGACTGGGAGTGGCCGCCGAGACCACATAACACCGGTCTTGAAAGACCTACATTGGCTCCCAGTACGTTTCTGAGCACAATTCAAAGTGTTGGTGCTGATCTTGAAAGCCCTAAACAGCCTCAGCCCAGTAGACCTGAAAGAGCGTCTCCACCCCCATTGTTCTGCCCGGACACTGCGGTCCAGCGCCGAGGGCCTTCTGGTGGTTCCCTCACTGTGAGAAGCAAAGCTACAGGGAACCAGGCAGAGGGCCTTCTCGGTAGTGGCACCCGCCCTGTGGAACGCCCTCCCACCAGATGTCAAAGAGAACAACTACTACCAGACTTTTAGAAGACACCTGAAGGCAGCCCTCTTTAGGGAAGCTTTTAATGTTTAACAGACTACTGTATTTTAATACTTTGTTGGAAGCTGCCCAGAGTGGCTGGGGAAACCCAGCCAGATGAGCGGGGTATAAATAATAATAATAACTATTATTATTATTATTATTATTATTATTATTATTATTATTATATGTGCAGGAACCACATGATGTTGGGGAAAGTCCTGGCAGCCCTTGCTCCACCTCTGCACATCACACCCAGAGTCAGAAGAAACCAAGGGTCAAGGCAGAACTGTAGACCACCAACCCATATCTGATGAAGCCTTCTTCATCACTGGAGATTTTAAAACAGTGGTTGGATGGCCATGCTAGCGATAACTTAGCAACATTGGTTGGGTTGGACTAGAGGACCCTTGAGGTCCCAACGCTACAATACTATGATTCTAAGCCACCCAGCTCCTTTGTCCACCCCATATCCAGGTTTCTCACCGACTCTTGACCTGCTGCTCCACCCCTTTCTCCTGGGCTCCTTCAGATCTGGGGGTGCCTTTCCCTCCCTCCCCGACCTGACCCGGCCTCCCCTCTAAGCCCAGATGGCAGCCCTCTCCCCGCAGCCCCATTACCGTCATCTCCATTTCGTCGTTCTCGTCTCGTGCCAAGAAGGGCCACCAGCCCTTCACCCTCTTCTGTTTGAAGATAGAGACCATGGGCACCTCAATCTCCCCCGTCCCCAGCTCCATGCTGCACTGCTTGGCGGTCTTTGCGCCACGTGGGAAGCGGTTCAGGTCAAGCTCAATGCCTCCTGAGAAAGGGAGGGACGGAGAAAGGAAGGGTATTATTATTATTATTATTTTATACCATCAGCATTTGATCTAAATTGAAATTTAAACATAAATTATTATCTTCACTTTGAACCCCATTCCTACATTCATCTATATATCAACACTTTATATTGGTTCATCGGTAACATAAGAGGGAAAATGACTATTATTCATACTCAATCTAAGCAGAAACACAAGGGCTCCGGATTAGGCCTTTAGCTACGCGATGTTGAATGCTACCGGTTAAATATTCTATCCCATTTCCCCTTTGTTTTTGTTTAGGTTTAAACCAGTTCACAAGCCAAGAACTTTTACACTGACCACTCTAATAATGAACCATATTTTGTAGATACCGCTGCAAATTTATTATGCTATTTTCTTTTTATTAGAAAATTTTATTTACAAACATACACAAAACAAAATTCATATTATCCTACCACACTAAATTAGACGTTAAAACACCCTTGTGATTTCCCTCCACCGTCCCTCACCCTCCTATATATTATAATAATTCACATTGCAATTTTTATCTAAATTTATATTTCTTAACTCTTTTAACTTACTATTTTTTATTTATTTATTTTTTATCCGGCTTTACAAACATTAATCCAAACATATCAACATGTTAGGTTTTGAGCAAGTACTTGGGCATATCATCTTCAAGCCATTTCCATTGTATTTTTATTTTCTGGTTTGATTGGTACCTTATTCCTGCAGTTAATCTTGCTGATTCTATAAACTCAATTAGTTTATATATCCAGTCATCCTTTGCGGGTATATATTTCCCTTCCTCAGTTTTGTGCAAGGAGTAGCCTTGCTGCGACTGTCGTGTATAAGAATAATATTTTCCTATATTGTGGTATTTCTTTATCTATTATACTCATTCTGCTATTTCCTTACGCACAAATGGCATGATTAAAGACAAGGTCTATTTCGTGTGTGTACCATTTATTGTTCCCATGATCCACGTCGATAAAACCCAATAAAAAGCTATTAAAATAAATAAAGTAAGCAATACAGATAAAATTTAAGAAAATTGCTCCCTGTCCCCCATGTGGTAAAGGTAAAGGGTAAAGGGACCCCTGACCATTAGGTCCAGTCATGACCGGCTCTGGGGTTGCAGCACTCATCTCGCTTTATTGGCCGAGGGAGCTGGCGTACAGCTTCCGGGTCATGTGGCCAGCAGGACTAAGCCGCTTCTGGCAAACCAGAGCAGCGCACGGAAATGCCGTTTACCTTCCCGCCGGAGTGGTACCTATTCATCTACTTGCACTGGCATGCATTCGAACTGCTAGGTTGGCAGGAGCAGGGACCGAGCAACGGGAGCTCACCCCGTCGTGGGGATTCAAACCGCCGACCTTCTGATCAGCAAGCCCTAGGCTCTGTGGTTTAACCCACAGCGCCACCCGCATCCCTATCCCCCATGCTGACCCTGGGACAAATACCCTCCCGGCCTCCGTCACTGACCGAGGAAGTCATCGGCGGAAAAGTGGTCGGCATCCCACACTTGTAGCGTGAGTCGGGCCGGAATCTTGTACTCGGTCTCGTCCCAGGAGAACATGGACTCTTTCTTCGAGATAACAATCTTCTCCTCAGCTGCAAGGTAGTCGAAAGGAAAGATGTAGCGCCAGTTGAAGTTGCCCTCGCCGGTCAGCGAGTGGTAGTGGACGTCTGTGTCTTGCTTGTCTTCTTGCTGACCCTTCAGCCACCTGCATGGGGGAAAGAGAGGGGACGGGTGGCGGTCAGCCGGGAGGGGATTTCGAAGGACGGGGATTTTGAACAACAGTTGTGCTCATGCAGGACCAGGAAAAGTCAGTGCTGGAGGGGCCGCGGCAGACTGGAGGGGGTCTCGCTTGCAAAGGGGCGTCATAAGGGGGTGCAGAGTATTGCTACATTGGAGAGATTGTGCCGGTACCGCCATGGTCTGTTTGATGCCTTCCTGTGTTTTGGATATTCTGTTGGGAGCTGCCAAGAGGGGCTGGGGCATTGCACACCTTAAGTTAGCCTTCCATCTTAGGTCCCCAGGCGTTGTTGGACTACATCTCCCATCCCTAGCCAGCATGACCAGTGGTCAGGGATGATGGGAGTTGTAGTCCAACAACATCTGGGGACCCACAGGTTGAGAACTGCTGGGCTACAGGGAACCAGGCAGAGGGCCTTCTTGGTGGTGGCGCCTGCCCTATGGAACACCCTACCACCAGATCCCTAGCTAGCAGGACCTGTGGTCAGGGATGCTGGGAGTTGTAGTCATTTAGCCTGGACACTGAGGTCCTGCTCTGAGGGCCTTCTGAGGGTTCCCTCCCTGCGAGAAGTGAGGCTACAGCAGTGTTTCTCAACCTGTGGTTCCCCAGATGTTGTTGGACTACAACTCCCATCATTCCTAGCCAGCATGACCAGTGGTCAGGGATGATGGGAGTTGTAGTCCAACAACATCTGGGGACCCACAGGTTGAGAACCGCTGGGCTACAGGGAACCAGGCAGTGGCACCCACGCTGTGGAACACCCTGCCACCAGATGTCAAGGAAATAAACCACTCTCTGACTTTTAGAAGACATCTGAAGGCAGGCCTGTTTAGGGAAGTTTTTAATGTTTGGTGATTTATTGGGCTTTTAATATTCTGTCTGGGGCTGCCCAGAGTGGCTGGGGAAACCCGGTCAGATGGGTGGCATATAAATATTAAGATTATTATCCCTTCCTGGGACCCGGTACATGGAAGAGATGCTGTTTTAAGTACAGTAGGATCATACCTTGTGCAGGGGGGTATGCTCTGGGGATGGCGCGTATACACGAAAATGCGTATACACACGTCACCCCCTTGAGTCTGCCCCTGCACAAGTATCCCATCTTCTGAGCAAGGCAGAGGGCTTTTAATTCCTCTGCCTTGCTTATCAGGCTCTGGGGTGCTCTCACAGGGCAGTATGTGAGTTGTTTTTTCTTCCTTTATCGGCTCCCTGGAGTCTGAAACCAGTATCTGTTCGGTGGGATTTGAAAATCAGGTGTGATTTCTGAAGCCCACATTCAGAATTTGGTTTGCAGACATTCCTCCAATCCAATACAAAAGAAAAGGGATCCAGCAATAAATTCTCAGAAGTTGAAAACTGCATGTTTTGAGTTTTGGCTCCAAAGTGTTGGCTTTTGCACAACCGCCAAATGTGTGAAAGTTTTTTAGGGGGTTTGTTTCATTCTAACTTGCTGTTTGCCACCTTCAGCATTTTAAAGGAAAAGGGCATAATAGAACTGTTTTAGGTCATAAATAAAATAACCTGGGCCAGAATCCAGAAATTATTCTGTAACCCGAGGAGCGGACTTTTCCACAAATTCTGTTTTGGTGTAGCTGAATATTCACCACTCCTCTGTACACGTCTCACATGAAGGGCAAAGGTCCCCAAGTGGTTCCCAAAATTGGCAGTCACTAATTAGCAGTGTAATTATCTAAGGGGCATCAGTGGGGCGTGGAGGTCTAACTGCCTATCAGACTTTGAAAAGCTGGTCTCAACTTGATCCATTTTGTTGAATTAATTAAACTAAATGGTTTCCATCTAAATTTGGATTAATGGTCCACTGATGGTCCCTATTTTTATTTTTTATTTCTGTATTCTCTGACTTAGTGGGTCATGCAAACTGCTATTCTGAATCATGCTTTCTTTAGGGGAAGGGCACTGGTGATGAATTTAGGGAATGAAGGGAGAGGGCCCCTCCAAAAGTTTGGAAACCACTGGCCTAAAATGTACCCCCCCCCCGCGATACATGCAAGAGGGAACAAAGCAAGCTGTCCCCACAGCTAAACACACCACCATATCTGCAAAAAAACCCCACAACACCTTCCCAGCTGCGCCCTTGCAAAAAGGAGACAGCCAAGCACACACACACACAAGGCGTTGCCACGCCTGGAATAAGAGCATGCAAGAAGGCAACGGCATTCCTCATTCAGAGAAGGGAGAAGAAAACCCCTTGACCCTCATTCCCTTACCTGCTCACATGCTCGTATTTTCTCAGGCCCCTTATGGGTGACCACCCAGCCCTGCTCCCAGGCAAATGCATAGCTCAGGCTGGGTGGATCGGCAGAGCTGCATCAGATCTGGGGCAGGGTGAAGGTAGCCCCTCTGGGGCGCTAGCTCTCGGAGTGTGAAGCTGGCTCAACAACCTGCCCTCCCCTGGTCAGGTCTCTGCAAAGTGACCCGTCTCTTAGATCTACATTGGCTCCCAAGCACAATTCAGAGTGTTGGTGCTGACCTTTAAAGCCCTAAATGGCCTCGGCCCAGTACACCTGAAGGAGCGTCTCCATCCCAGTCTTTCAGCCCGGACACTGAGGTCCACTCTGAGGGCTTTCTGGTGGTTCCCTCCCTGTGAGAAATGAGGTTACAGGGAACCAGGCAGAGGGCCTTCTCGGTGGTGGCGAGGAACATCCTCCCATCAGATGTCAAACAGATGCACACCTTCTGAAGGCAGCCCTGAATTGGGAAGTTTTTAATATCGTATGTTTTGCTGTGCTCTGCTATGTTGGAAGCTGCCCAGAACGGCCGGGGTATCCCAGTCAGATGGGCAGGTTACAAGAAATTATTCTTATTCTTATTCTTAGAAACCCCTGGAACCAGTTTCCCCTTAGGCTCTGCCGATGGATTGCCATAAGCTATGGATCTGCAGCACATCCGACAGCGGGCGAGCAAAGGATTTGCGGGGAGTCTCCCATGCGTCCCCCCTCCCTGAGCAGCCCTGCGCCCCCCCCCTGGAGGGGTCGTGCACGGAGCCTCGATCAATTACCCCCTGACATAGATGTCTGACATCTTCTCTCCCGTCATGAAAGCATCGTCCTCCAGGACCACCTCATCGGTGTTCCAAATAATAACCCGCAGCTCATACCTAGCCATGGCGCACAGCGGCACAACAACAACACAGAGAGGACAGAAAAGGGGGAGAAAAGAGGCAGACAGGAGAAGCAAAGTGTCGGTTAGCTGATGCCCGCGTGGAGGAAACGCGCCGTCTGAGAAAGGGTCGCCCGTCCTCTGCGGGGAGCGCTACAGAGCGGGGCAGAACCGAAACCAAAACGAGAAGCTCACGCACACAGAGAGAGTAGCC